TTAGGATGAAGCCCTACAAGCTCTGCTGAGGAAAAACATTTGAAACACATCTTAGTATGATGGACAAACCTACTTGTCTGGCCTTTAGCTCTAACAATCACAGTGGCAATGTGGAACGGAGCCAATATTGGACACTCTGAAATCCAGAATGGCCCTTATCAGGCGTGCTAGCTGGGCATATCTAGCTGATTAGAGTGGACAACAACGCCAAAACCAGAGGCTTTCAGGTAGCCTATCAGTGTAACGATGACGGATGGCTGATTGGAGAAGACAGGCCCTTTCCCCTACAAGGTGATGGTGGCATTTTAGACATTCCTACTTTTCAAACTGCTCATTCAAAAGGATTTCAGAAAGTGTTGAGGATAAAATCAGGTATTGCCAAAAAGTGGTCACCAGCATGAATGCCTATGTGCCTCAGTAGCCTACAACAGTCTAAACTCTCAAGGCTGGCTTGCAAGGCATTTCAAGCAATGCAACCAATTGGCCTTTAAAGAACCTGCTATAAAACAAAATTAATATAGAGGAAACAAGATAAAGTGTTCATCTTGAGATCCTAAATTTTTTTAGCTTCATAGAAACTTTTACAATTATAAACAACAATACTTCTCTAGGATTATTTCTGACAATACAAATAACCGTAGGATTCTTTTTCAACCATTGATAGTCTCTTACATTTCTCACCAATGACAAATATGGGTTTAAGGATAATCTGCAAAATGTGAAGAACAAGGCACATTTTGCAAATTATCTTTCAAAATCTGAAGACTTTGCCTTGTTTCTCAATAAGTTAAAGTCAAAATTAGCTACATGTCCCCTTCATCCAGTCCCAACATCCATTTTTAAGTGTGTCTTTGATAGCCTCTGCTCTGGATATAATAAATGTATTACTAGAAACTGCTTTCCAGATCTACCAGATCAAATTCCAGAGAGTAATTTGGACCACTCGATCAAGAACAGTTTTAGACCAGTCTCCAGTGGAAGAAACACCTGTGGATTTTTCAGATTTGAAGCAAGAGTAGAGCATGATTTTATGCTCTCTCTCAAAGATAAAAGCTATAAGTTCTGTTGATGTGATGCTGACCGTTTTGTTGTCTACCAGGTCTTGCACAGTTGTTAGGAGTCCGATTTAGTTGAACTTTTAATAATATTTTTAATTTTGCTTTTGGAATCTTCTGTTTTTGCTTATTTTCTTTTGATTTCCCTTCCTAACACAAGTGGATCATTAGAATAAATGCAGATAAACATGAAAAGTAACAGAAATTTCTTGTTTTCAGAAAAGTAGTTGATATGTTGTGAGCGAGTTTGAAGACCAGAGTTTGGTTCAAGATGTCTCCTGGATGCCACTAGCCATTGCATGGTTTGGGCAAAATCAGCAGCGCACCTGATTTAACTTCATTACTGATGGAGAGATTTGGAAATGGTTAAACAAATACACTGACAAATGCAAAATCACTACTTGTACTACTACAATTTATTGATGAATTTCATTTTCTCAGTTTTAGGCAACTGAAAAAATGAGATTTAAAAATTAGTGTTTACTTGGTCAGAAAATACACTAATACACTACACTGATATTAATACACTAATAACAAATACACTAATATTATAATACTGTATATTCCTGATGCTCAAAAAATTAATAGCTTATACTTAAGGCTGTTCTGGCCTAAATGTAAATAAAGTAAGGGTGATCTCTAACTTTTACACTCAGGGATGTATATATACATGTATGTGAGTCAGACACACATATATATGTATTTTAGTGATTTCTTTTTAGCTTTAAACTCAACATGTGGTGTAATGACCCAAAAAATAGAAGTTTCATTAAAAGACTGACATTCATCTAAAAAAATCCTTAACTAGTTTGGCAGAATTGTGTATTACTGTTCTTTAAAAATGATAAATGTGGTGAAGTAGTTTTGTTTTTAATCATAATGAAATCTGTCTGCAAAGTCGTTTTTTAAGTCAGCATGGTGTAATCAATATGCAGAAAGCTTCAACCCTGGTCCTGGAGATCTACCTTCCTGCAGAGTCTAGTTCCAACCACAATCTGCCACACCTGCTCCAGCTAATTAACTTTCTCAGAAGTCCTTGACTGGCTGCATCAGATGCATTAGTGTAAGGTAGCATTTCTGATGCAAGTTGGAACTAAATTCTGCAGGAAACTAGATCTCCAGGAGGAGGGTTGGTGACCACTGGTTTAATGCAACAAGAAAACAATAAATAGTACATTATATCACAGAATAGACCCCTGAATATGCTCATAGTTATGTGTGAAGTTCAGTGAGTATTTTAGAAATATCTGAAAATTTTACCATTTTATGACATAGCAACACTTACACAGGTCCTTCAGGAAAAGTTTCAAAATCCATTATATATGAAAAAACTATTACATTTCGAAAAAAGTGATATGATGATAATGCCTGTCATATTTGATTTGAAATGGAAATCTTGGGTGGTACACAGTTAGACCATTAATTCCAAAGCCCATTGCAGAACCACATAAATGAGGCACATCTTTTAATCTCTTATAATTTTATGATTTGACTCCTTCAAATCATACTGTTCTTACATGTTTAATATTATTTTATTTTTTTTTATCAAAATAGCTGCCATCAGAAATATAATATCTATTTCAGTTCTAACACTATGACATTATTATTATTCTGTATTCTGGGAGGTGATTTTTCATTGTAATAGATGAAATTTGTTTGAATGCTATTCTCAAGTGGGTTTAAGTCTGATAGTTAGGAAACTTTTATTTTTCATTTATAACTGTGCATAGCACAACTTCACAACTTCCCAATCCTGCTGTCTCATGACAATAAATAAGAGATTTGTCTGTCATATGACTTTGCTAAAAAGGAGGCTGAACAACTGCTATTCTTGTTTCTGCACTCATCTCAGCTCTCATTTGTGCAGAAAGAAGAAAGAAGGCAATGTTCTGATCATTTTCAGACTTAACATTAAAGTATTCTTGTGGTGGAGTCCCTTGGTGGAAAGTCTGACAAAAACGTGACCTATATTTTGTATATTTATGTATTATACACCAATCAGGCATAACATTATGACCACCTCCTTGTTTCTACGCTCGCTGTCCATTTTATCAGCTCCACTTACTATATAGGTGCACTTTGTAGTTCTACAATTACAGACTGTAGTCCATCCGTTGCTCTGCATACTTTGTTAGCCCCCTTTTACCCTGTTCTTTAGTGGTCAGGACCCCCATGGACCCTCACAGAGCAGGTGCTATTTGGGTGGTGGATCATTCTCAGCCCTGCAGTGACACTGACATGGTGGTGGTGTGTTAGTGTGTGTTGCGCTGGTCTGAGTGGATCAGACACAGCAGTGCTGCTGGAGCTTTTAAACCCTCTGTCCACTCACTGTCCACTCTATTAGACACTCCTACCTTGTCAGTCCACCTTGTGGATGTAAAGCCAGAGACGATAGCTCATCTGCTGCTGCACAGTTTGTGTTGGCCATCCTCTAGTCCTTCATCAGTGGTCACAGTACACTGCCCACAGGACGCTGTTGGCTGGATATTTTTGGTTGGTGGACTATTCTCAGTCCTGCAGTGACACTGAGTGTGAACACTTCTTATTGCATGTTGTTGGACAGCCTGAAATGAAAACTGTTTGCTAACAAAAACATACTTTTGGCTTATGGCTGCTAACAGCTTTTACTAAAAAGAAGACACGTCATTTCATTACAGGGCATTGATTTTGAAAATTCAAATTTTATTTCAGAAAACAATAAAGGACCCCATCAAATTTAAATTTGTCTTTCTTATGGAATGTCCAGGACCCCCTCAGTCCCTCCCTCTATTCAAACCCTGGCCTCCTCTTTTTTTGCTGGGTCACCACGATTGTTGTTGTTCTGTTTGTTCTAACCTCGTCCCTCTAGATGTTCCTCTTGGGCTCTCATTGGCTATTGCTCACCCCTGTTCTTGCTGTTTCAGAATTTTTTATGCCAATAATTTCAAACACTGTCTGAAAATATCACACAGTCTGTGACAACTCACAGAACCTCTCACAAACAAGCTGGTGTTACACATTACACACACACCTTGCAGTTTATCAGAGATAACTTCCCACCCTCCCAATTTTGTTGTCAGCACAGCATGAAATACTGGGACCCATATATGTCATCAAAACATAGTTTTCTTTCCATTAATGCTGTGTTATTAAGCATCTGGACATTTAAGTAACACATAATATAACATTAAATTCAGACTACTGAATTTTATTCTTGGCTTGTAACATGAATTCATTCATCACTGAACAAGTATAGAGTGTTAACAATGTAACTCTCAATACAGCAACTAAGCTCTTGCAAAAAGAACAGTAGATGTGACAAGGTTGGATGGTATGGCATTGTTTGATGACCTGTATTTTTAAAGTAAATGGTTTAGTAAAATGTGAATAAAAAATAGTTTGTTTTTTTAATGTAAAATGTTGTCCAAAATAAAATAGAAAGCAAAATAACCAATAATGCAACAACAAAAAAAGTGGAATGGATAATATATGTTTTTTTGTTGGAGGGGCTCATTTAAGAGTAATGTCAAGTGGGGTAACTGGTTTTAGCCAATTGGTGTAATGAAACTATAACCAAAAGTTTTGCACAAAAATAAATGATTTTAAAAACTAATAATAATAATAATAATAATAATTCATCAGTGAAAAGTGTGTTTAACTAGTCACAGAGACTTAAGGTACCGTTATAATAATAATTCACATTAGAAGATTGTTTAAGTAAATGTTAATCTAACTGACATATTATTTATAAATCAGGCTGAACAGTTGGCAACTACTGAGGGGTACGTACTGTACGGTGCGGTATTTGGGCTGCTTATATGCTAGTAACCTCTTAGCCCGGAGCTCAAAACCTCACACTGGACTCATTAAACAGAGTTATTCACAATCAACTTCCATTGCCTTCTTGTTCGTAGCGTAGTTAACAGCCGAGAACTCCAACGACCACAATGCACTGCGCTGGAAACACCTCGCCAAACGACTTGTCCACATCAGAGCGCAGTGAGCTGTTCCTGCTGCACACAAATGCCAACGAGCGATGAGTGCAGCACTTAACTCCCGTAATGGGGGGGATACACATTACTATTACACACAACCTGCTATTCTGCGAACTCGTGAGGTAAGACCTCTGTGTTACACCTGGACTTCTGCGGCCTTGTGCACAGTTTCTGTCATGGAATCTGTGAGGTGCTCGCTAAAGTTAGCCAACAGAAAAACAGCAAAGGCAGGTTTCTGTGAGAATATTTTCAGCGTAGTTAGCCAGCTACCAATGATAAGATTTAGGCAAGTATCAGTTAGCTTTCCAGGAGTGAGCTTGCTAGCTAGCTAGTATGACAACATCTGCATAAACAGGTGACACAGAGAGAAGCATCATCGGTAAATAAGGTTACAGTGAGGATATTAGGTTGTTAGCACCTTTTTGAAGCAACACCGTAGTTGGAGCTCTACTGTTATTATTGGTATTGACATACATAGCTAGCTGCTGTTTTGGTCAGATGAGTGTCACACCCGTGGATGAACCTGCAGGGCTGCTTTGCCTTACCAGAGCTGATGAGCTGGTCAGTGAGCTAATGGCTAGCTAATGGCTGACGTTCTTTAGTTCAGCTAATCTAGCTAAGTAGAGCAACCTGCCGAGTCTGAATGAAGTGTAGAGCTTGTAGCGCTGACAGCTAGCTAAGCTAAGCTAGCTTTCCTGACCAGCAGCTCACTAGCTAGCTGGCTAGCTGCTGTTGGCTAGTCGTTTGGACAAAGTAATAATTTAACTACACAGCGTTGCTTAAGGTTAGGTAGGTTAGCTAGCTAGTTTATACGAGTATTTAGGTAATGTTCGCTGTGATTGACCAGTACCACAGATTAGTATTTAGTCTCTTATCAAATTTATTGCTTTAGCCTGTGTGCTATTCCAGTTAGCAACGCCAGCAGCTCGCCGTCACGTCATCACGTGATGTAACACACGGTACTTTTCTGGATAGTTTCTGTGAAGATCAGCTTCCCAACTCCAGTCCAGGAGTCCACCTAAACTGCACCCTTTAGTGTTTTACCTGCATTTTAAAACATTTAGCTATAGAAGGACCTGATCATTAACGTATGGTGTGACTCAGGTGCTGGGAAAACTCAACTCTGCAGTGCGTGTGGGCTACAGTGCTGGAGTTGGGACCCACTGACCTAGACAGTTATGTCCATAACTTATTATACAGTTTAAAGAGAGGTGATGTAGTCTCTGTAAGCTAGCTTGGTAACTCAGTTCGATCTGTAATTGTGAATCTGTTAACATTAGTTTGGACTTGTGATCAGTGTGGGCACCTCTCACAATATTGTGTCAGGGTAGAGATTTTTTTTTAAAAAAAGGATCTTTTTAGTCCCAATCAAGGTTGTTTGCCCATATTCTTATTATGAGGAAAGATAGATTTAACAAAGAAAGGTGGATATAACAAGGTCATGAATTGTCATATATGTGCCAGCTTTTGTGTTTTCTTGATCTTTTCATTTCATCTTTTAGGTGGATATCAAGGACACAGTTGTGGAAGACCATGACATTGCTTGGGTTTCTCTGTAATATCCATCAGTCTTTGGATGTGATTTGAAATTTAGGCGTACTGAGGACAATGAGTCTACACCAAGTGCTCACTGGGGCTGTCAACCCCGGGGACAATTGTTTCTCTGTGGGGAGCATAAACAACGTACCTTTCACGGTAAGGAAGCCTTGTGGCTTGTAGAATACACTAAATGTGCCTGTGATTCCAGAGTAATTGCATATGGCACCATTCCCACGAGTCGTTGCTCTGAGGATTTCATTCTGCTGCATGGACAGAAATCAATATCCGTCTATTTTCTGTGTCTCCGTCCTCCAGGCTGTTGCCTAGGTGACTTTCTACCCGTTCATGACATGCTTTGCACAGTCATCCTTTCAAGTGCATTTCATTCTAGGCCTAATACATTACTCAAAAGCAAGCCTTATCTGTAACATGCATTTTCATTTAGGTAATGGTGGGTGTCTTCAGAGTTGCCCTGTTGTGAAAGTTAAAACTTTCCACTCTGCTGAAGAGCTTTTTGCTAATAACCTTTTTTGTTTCTGTGATGAATATTTATGACTGCGAGGGCAGTTGTGTTTTGCCAGACTTTGCACTTGTGTGTATCAAATAAACATTCATGTCTTCTTTGCTCCTGGGACAGGCCTATGCATCTGGCTGTGACATTGTAATCTTGGGGAGTGACTTTGAGAGGCTTCAGATCATTCCAGGTGCCAAACATGGGAACATCCAAGTGGGATGTGTGGACTGCTCTCAGCAAGGGGGGCAGGTAAAATTGTTGTTTAATTCCTTGTTGCGTAACAGGTGGGTGTTGCTTGTCACGTTTCTTTTAACCAGTGCATTAAAAGGCACAGGTGTGGTCAGAGGTGCTTTTTAAAGTGACATTTCTTAAAAAGAAAAAATGCAGTGTTACCTCAATAGTTCCATGACTAGGGCTTTGCCTCTTGTATGGTCATTCAGCAGATGGTCAGTCGGTCTTATTTTAGGCACGTTGGGAACAAACTTACTGAAATGGAGCTTTTGTTTGTAAGAAAACCATATCTACAGCTAGGGCTGGGTGATAAAACGATAACGATAATTATCGCGATATAACTTTCCTTGATAGAACAATAAGAAATGTTTGATAAATGTTCGATATAATACACTGTTCTCACACTTCCACGTTCTAGCGAAAGCCCTGGTGGCATTTTCTGCTGCAAGGAAACGATACTACCCTGCTGTCGCCAGGAGAGGGTGCACTTCCGAGCTTTTTGACATGATTTGGGAGGGAGGGGGCGACAAGTAAAATTGAGTCGCCAAATATACGTGAGGAATGTCTGAAACGTGGAGTTATACATTTCCTGTTTGAGTGAAGCGACCGGCGTTCTGTTCTCCTGTGACCAAGTGTGAGTGATGAGATAAGTGGCGTAACTATACTGTCCTACAGTGAACTCACCTCTTTTCTTACATTCTAACAAGCTTTAGCAGCGTTAAATCACATCTGCTCCACACAACTAAAGCACTGTTACAGTGCTCGGACAGTCATACTTAAGTATTAGTGCATTCCCAAGCAACGAAAGTGAAAGAGAGAAGTGGGTTCATGCAAGTTACAGCCCTGATTTAAACGAAAGTAAACTGAGAAAGCTGTGAGGCACTGGAAAGCGAGAGAGCGCTGTCTTTCCAGACTAGCTGTTTTTAGCAGCTGGCTAACTTGAAGTAGCGCTCCGTCACTCACACAGCACAGCGAATTGATGATACTGTAGATGAAACGAGACACAAAAGCACCGCTTTCAGTTTAAACGTAGCTAAAAGGAGGACTCCTTTTGTCTGGTGTTGATATATTGCGGTTCACCCCTCAAATTACTATAGAGAAACCCAGTCGTCTGCTAGCTGGTGTGTGAATACTGCGATGTGCTCGACAGGGATGTGGTAGGAGTGATGGCAGTAAGGCGGTGTGATCCATCACTGACGTACCGAGCCAGCAAATGTTTGCTGTTTGTACTAAGTTGACGTTGTTGAGAAACTGAACAGTTTAGCACTGTTAATGGCCACTTGTTTAGCATTTGTAACGGGATAGCCTAGCACTCGTCGCCAGACAGCTAAAAATAATCTGTTTTCTTTCTTAAATTATGAATATTACAAAAACTGCGGCCGTGCTTTTCCAGCTGATTAAAAACAACTCACCCGACACTTTCTCCCACTCTCCCATGACAGATTTGTGAAATGTTCCACTGTTTGGCGAGTGTTTGTCATGATCCGACCATAAAGTATAGTTTAAAACAGCAATTAACTACTCAGGAGCAAAAATCAGCCTTCAAACTTAAAAGAAATAATGATTAGACATTTATTGTGATATGTATCGATATCGAACAATATAAATTTTGTTTATCGTGATAAGATTTTTGGCCATATCGCGCAGCTCTATCTACAACCCTCTATCAATGCAGAATTTAGGCTTGTGATTGGTGATGACTTGGCAAATCACCACTGTAGCTGTAGCCCCCAGTGATAGTACCTCGCTTTGAAAAAATGTTGTTTATTTACTGTTTATTTTAAAGGTAAACATAACGATACACTAGCATTCCGACACATGAGCATAATTTAACTTTTACACATTTTGGGGGAAGTGCATTCTGTCCAAATTTGATATTTGAGTATCTGTAAGGTCAGTGAACGGATAATCATTTAATCACTGGGAAAGAAAAACAAAAAAGGAAGCGAAAAAGGAAGAAAATGGACAATTGACTGTAATGTAGGGCTTACATTTTTGTGTGTCAGCACTAGTGTTGGAAAAATAAAAATTGCAGGACTCAGAGGAATACATTTAAAAACAAGTTTAAGTATTAAAAAGATACCTGAAGAAGAGGTATAGTAGTTTTTCACAATGGATGAGAAACCGAAACTGCCTCCTCAGATAAGCTAATGAGCTAACAGAGCTAACTGACACAACACTGGATGTTGATGGAGACTTTTGTCCTCAGTGGACGACATGCCAATATGATAGCTTCTCTGAGAAATATCTTTTCCCTATTTCTTGGCCTAGCTAATGTCATCTAGAGGAGTTAACCTAGTTAGTGCCTCATCTGAGCCCTCTTCACCTGCTCAGGTCATGTCTTTAACAAATGTCCTTAGCAAAGTGTGGAAGCTTAGGGTAATATAATAGATCTATATATATACTTACTTGCAAATGTCACAAATGTACATTTTCTCAGTCTCCTTGTGATAAAATGTAACAAATACCCAGATAGTGATTTCAGTATTTGAATACTGGGACCTTGAACGGTTAACCAAGTAATTAAGTACCTGTGCAAATCCCTACTCTGGACTGAGTTGATATTTATAAATAACAAATATAAATAGAGTACCGCAAAGTTGACTTGCTGTTTTCCTACCACTGATCACATGCTTCTGTTGTTGTCAGAGCAGGAATTAGAAGTGGCCACTGTCTAAAAAAATTACTGCAAACCCGTGCCTATATGGAAATGTTTTGGTCCAGATTATAAATGCATTCAGTGGAAAATTTGTGCAGGGACCATATGTAGGCTGAGGTTACCGCATTGGATTGTGTTGCTTGTTAAAAGACATGAAATAAGATGAATGATACATGGCCATGGTTTATAATAGACATAAGCCAGATGTGTCACTCTGTCTCAGAGGTGAGTGGCTTAGTATGACTCATTCTTGCATGACAGTATTGTATCCTTGGCAGGGTCTCCCACATTAAACCTGTACTTGTACGTACTTGATGCCATGTCAAACAACAAAAGAAGGAATTAAATGTAGTATGAAATTATATCGTTTAATCAACAGGGATTAAGGATTAATTCTGTGAGAGTGCTGTAGGACAGCCATTGTGACTAGCTCAGAGCTTTAAGAATGAGCTATTAGCAGCACCCATTTTCCTCTAAATAACAAAAGCTGTCCATTATTTCAAGAAATGTATTGGCTATATTTGTGCACTAGTTTATATTGTGTGCATTTCTCATGAAATGAAAAATCTGTGGAGAAGATTGTTGATTGTTAAACAATTTTTTTGAAATCGATAGCAAAGGTTGAGGCTGTGTTAGTGTTTAACCCCTTTGAAAGACATTTATTTCATCTTGTTGCCAACAGATAGCTGCATCCTATGGAAACATTATTTGCATATTTGAGCCTATGCAGATCAGCCCAAAGGAAAAAATACAAACGGTGAGCTTATTTTTACAACCAGATTTCCAGTGATGACCCTTTTTGCATTTCTTGTGCTGTATTGACGCATATTCTGTATTAAATTTCTACAGAAGTTAAACTACCATTGGCAAAAAACTGGCCAGTTCGTTTTGGAGTCTATAGCACACAACCTTGCTTGGAGCCCCACAGGTACATGAGTGTCTATGTACAGATCTGTCTTACAAAGGTCAGCGTTTGCTTTCTTTCTTTTAAACCTTTGTCCATTTTTTTTTCTCTTGTTTACATGTCTGTAGGTACTAGTCTCTTGACTGGGTCAGGTTGCTTACAGTTATGGTCCAATGTGAATTTCTGCTGTAGTGCTGAGGGGGAGACAAGTAGCGATCCTCCATGTTCATGGAGGTGTATATGGCAGTGCAAGTAAGTTGTTAATGGAAGTGCTTGAAATTTGCATGTAACTGAATTGGCTAATTAGATTAAATCTATGGTCAAGGTGCTAATAAAAGTTTCTTCATATTGCCTTTTATTGTTATAGGACTGCTTCACCTATTCACCTAATGAAGTTTTCTCCAGGTGGAGAATTTTTTGCCACTGCAGGACAGGTTGGTACCCAGCACTTCTTGCTACTCATTCATATTGATAGCTTGTAGCATGTTTGCCATTCACACCGTAAACCTTGTCTGAGAAACGTAAGGGTCATCTTGCATTTAGGATGACTGTTTGGTGAAGGTGTGGTACAGCACAAGCAAGTGGCAGTCAGACGTTATGAAGCTTTTCTCTCCCCCTGAGCTTGGCTCTCAAGGGGAGATTGACTTCTCCTTCATCTATTTGGCCCACCCTCGTGCCGTCACTGGCTTCTCCTGGAGGAAGACCAGCAAATACATGCCCAGGTTTGAATCCACAGGTTTTATATACAAAAAAAAACTAAGTGTTTAAAATGCACCAGCACATTGTGATGCATCAGTCTGAAGGTTATTCAGCTGCATTGATTTTAGAGCATTACAATTGATTTTACTTTTTGTTACAATATTCTATAAATGTGTGATCATTTTTGGGCCAACATAGATTTTCAGAATATTCCAAAAACCCTAGTGTATTTTTTTTTAAATATAGTTTACAGTGTAAATACTTTCTTAAGTCACATTTATATTTTCAGTGTATTTTTACATTCTAAATGATCTTAAAGCCATGGTCACACCGAATGCAAGTAAATTCACTTGAATGGGGAAGGATGTGATGACTTCCCTTCTGTAGTGGTAACTGGTTTTGTTTTGCGTTGAGTTCATCTAGGTGAACTTTAACCCTGCAAGAGAGTGAGCTGTGGTATCTTATTTCTGAAAAAAAAAAAACTAATGGATGAATTGCTTCCCAGTTAACACAGTTATGTGTTTCATACAGTTGCAAAAACTAGTTAAAGCTGTTCCAAATAAGAATTGTTAAAATTTAAAAATGTCATTATTTAGTCAGAAAAAAACCCACTAAGATATGGTGTGCGTGCACTGCTTTGAGTTTCCCTGTCAAGCCTGATTTTGGACCATGTCATGTGGCTTTTACATATTAATGGCATACACATTGGCTCAAAAAGAAGGTCTAACTTTATGTCTCAAATGCAAAATGCAAATTAAATGTCTTAAATGCAAATTAAATCCTCAGAAGACATTTTGTCCAAGTTGTTGACTGAGTTCTCTTTGAATATTCTTTCAAAACGCTTGCAGTCATCAGATTCATACACCTGGGGAAGAGTTCAGAAGCACAACCCATGTTACAAAATGTTGTTCCACACGTTGCGTGTAATTACAGGCCTCCAGATTCCCAAAACTTACATAGTGTAGCTATGTAAATCACATCACGTCTCGTCCACCCGTACTGATTATTGCACTGCCCGTTGAAGACGAGGCGACAGTCTGAATTTTGTTTTCTTAATTGTGTCCTAATTAGAGATTTCATGTTGCATTGAATTGTTTCCTAAAGAAATCATAATCACATTTAATTGTTTTGTGGTCAGAGATTTGTACACCCAAAAAACATATCTGCAGTCATACCAGCAAGTCAATTAAGCAGCTTCCTCTCTGCCTCCAGGGGTGCCGTGTGTAATGTGTTACTGACCTGCTGCAAGGACAGTGTGTGTCGGCTATGGGCAGAGACCCTGCTGCCCAGCGACTGTCTGCTGTCTGGACTAAGGCACAATCACAGCAGCAGTAACAACAGCGATGCACTGAAGTCAAATAACATGAAGAAGGCCTTTTGTAATAACAAAGGCCAGAGTGGGACACCACTGGAGGTGAGTCACACCCCTCCCTTTGATCAAAAGACTGAGTAAATGTAGTTGCATATTGGATAATTTATACAGTTACCTGTGTAGAGGATTAGGGCCAAACAGACTTTGCTTTTATGGCTGAACTGATCATGTCAAATTATGCAGTGGACTTTCAAAAGCATAGTGCACTTTCTTTCATGTTCTTTCATGTCTGTGTTATTCTACAGAGAAGCTGATTTATAGCAAAGACTGTCTGATGGGTTTTGTTTTTACCATTGCTGAGATTTGACTTTTATGTTGGATGTCAGAAAAGAGCTTGTTTGCACTAAAAGGGCAGAAATGGACTCGTATACACTCCCATGCAAAAAAATGGCAAAACGTTAAGCGTCTTAACAATGTTTAATGGTCTTAACAACAGATCATTAAACAAATAGACAAAGTAATTTAGTATGGGGTATTTTTTTCCCTTTAATTTCTTTCAATTTTGAAGTCTTGTGAGTAAACTAACAGACAAACTTTTACAGAACTAAGAGTCAGTATTTTTCCACACAGCATTGATGGCTTTAAACAGTTGAAAAGCTTTGCCAGGCTAGTTTGTGTTTGATGTGAGACCAAATATTCTCTATAAAGTTTAAATCTGAACTCCAATCCAAAAGCATCAGTTTGGCTTGACCCATTTTTTTTTTCCACAGGAGTGTAGTTTTAAGCAAAAAGTTGGCTATGGATGTGGCATTTTTAGGAGTTCTTCAACATGAACCTGTTAAATAGAATTGACATAATATATAGTTTTTTATAAGGGTCACAAAGTCCTATTAGCTGTAAACTAAAATATGAGAAAAGTGTTCCATAATATTTTCTAACTACATAACGAACTAATTTAATTGAATAATAATAATAATTATTATTATTTACGTATATTACGTATATTTCATATACTCAGTTTAATTATGTGAGACTCTAATAGTAATAGCACTGGCATTGAATGGTGAATGTGAGTGAAGTGTTGGTGGAGTAATTCCATTAATTCTGACACTCTGTATCTACCACTATGTGCTGAGTTGAATTCTTGAAGGCAGATTTAAGTGACTGTCAGCCTAAATTAGGATAATGCCTAAGTTAGTTATAGCTAAATACAGCCATGTCCACTCGGTGTATGCCGTTCATGCTGCACCAGGTTTTTTGTTTGAATGGTTCTTCTTGCATGCCGCACTCTATTTTTGCTTTTAGTAACGTAAGCATCAACCTAGGCAAATATTATGTAACACGTTAGGTAACCGGCCATAATGTCTAGTAGTTGAGGCAAATCTCAGTGTCAGATGTAAATATTTAGCCTCGGAAAAATTGAATATTTTCAGGCTAGATAAATAGTAAATATGTGACAGGCCATATAAAGATGTATGAAAATGTGGCCCATGGGCTGGTAGTTTAAAACCCCTGGTTTATTGCATTAACATACTGATTCAAGTAGTACAACCCCATTTCCAAAAAAGTTCAGATGCTGTGCAAAACGTAAATAAAAACAGAATGCAATGATGTGCAAATCATTTATCGCCTATATTTAATTGAAAATAGTACAAAGATGACAAATCAAATGTTAAAACTGAGAAGTGGTATTGTTTTTTGCAAAACATGTGCCCATTTTGAATTTAATGCTGGCAACACATTTCAAAAAAGTTGGGACAGGGCAAACAGAAGGCTGATAAAGTTGTGTGATGTTATCAGAAACACCTGGTGGAACATCTCTACTAATAAGGTTAATTGGCAACTGGTTAGTAACATTTTTGGGCATAAAAAGAGCATCCCAGGAGAGGCTATGTCTTTCAGAAGTAAAGATGGGGAGGGGTTCACCGCTCTGTGAAAGTCTGTGCAGGCAAATAGCACAACAGTTCAAGAATAACGTTTCTCAACGTAAAATAGCAAAGAATGGGGATTTCATCATCTACTGTACATAATATCATTAAAACATTCAGAGAATCCAGAGAAATCTCTGTATGCAACGGGAACACTAATATTTTCTGGCTGTGATCTTGGGTCACTCAGGTAGTGCTGCATTATAAACAAAAATGATTGTGGAAATTACTACATGGGCTAAGGAACACGTCCAAAAACCACTGTCTGTGTACACAGTTCGTTGCTGCATCCACAAATGCATGTTAAAACTCTACTATGCAGAGAATAAACCATATATAAACAGGATCCAGAAGCGCCACCACTTTCTCTGGGCCTGAGCTCATTTAAGATGGACTGAGGTGAAGTGGAAAAGTGTTCTGTGGTCTGACGAATCAAAATTTGAAATTCCTTTTGGAAATCATGGATTTCAAAGTATTTTTAGTTTTATTATTTAGTTTAAGTATTTTTAACCTTTATTTTACCAGGCAAGATATTAAGAACAAAATTTTTTATTTACGATATCAGCTTAGCAAGTGCCAGAAGAAACTTAGTGTGGAGGGAGGGGAGAGGGTAACAGAATAAAATGAGACCAAAAATAAGAGAAAACAATCAGACAAAAGAAAAATGACTTACAGAGGTCATTAAAACTGTACTGTGATACAAAAATTTACAAGTGTCAATAAAAATGTCATAAAGTAGGCCCTGACAAGCAGTGACTGAAATTAATGTATCCAGTTTTAGTGTTTTCTCTAAAAAATTCCAGTCATTGGCAGTGGCAGACTGGACTAACATAAGGCTGTGTTATAGGGACATAACGATGTGTTTACTTTAGGGGTCCTTACTTCGATGTAATGGGAGGACTGCATGTTATACTTAGCCACAGATTATAGCTACAGTAACTGACTTAAATAAGGTGGAGAGCAACCAAGGAGAGTTTTATAAATAAGCATACACTAGTGCATGGTACGATGAGAGAGGACAATTTGACCAGCGGGAAAAAAAGTGGTGCGTTTAGAAAGGGGCCAGATGTTATGTCAATAAAAACTTTCAAAATGGCAGTAACATCCATAAACTGAACGAAAACCAGACTGTATGGTGGAGAAAATGTTATGGTCCTCAAGATAGTTAGTTAGCTGTTTGTGGACAAGTTTCTCCGAAAGCTTAGAAATGCATGGTAAATATGGATATAGGCCTGTAACAGTTTAAGTCAGCCTCATCACCACTCTTAAAAAGAGGATGTACAATGGCTGCCTTCCAGTCAACTGGTAATTCAGCAGTTCTAATGGAAAGATTAAAAATGTCTGTTTCATTGCCTTGCAATGAATTAGAGCTGCAGTGTTGAAAAAGAAAAGAGCTAATCCATCTGACCTAGTCGGCTTTTTGGGATCAACTGAGTGCAATTCCTTTAAAACTTTTTTCTGTAAAGGGTTGTAACTGTGAGAGGCTGCATGAAAATAAGGTTTAAATATTGGACATAAGGCTAAAAAAAAATTGTGCGCTAAACTGGCCTGCCTGCAGTTCAGACCTGACATCCACTAAAAACATTTGGTGCATTATGAAACAAAAAATAGAACAAAGGAGACTCTGAACCATTGAGCAGCTGAAATCCTGTATCAAGTGAAAATAATAAAAAAAAAATTCACTTTCAAAACTATAGCAGTTGGTCTCCTCAGTTCCCAAAAGCTTACAGAATGCTGTTAAAAGAAGAGGCGATGTAACAGTGGTAAACATGCCCCCGTCCCAACTTTTTTGGCATCACATTCAGAATGGGCATATTTTTTTCCAAAAAAACAATACAATTTCCCTGTTTCAACATTTGATATGTTGTCTTTGTACAATTTTCCATTAAATGATTTGCGCATCATTGCATTTTTTATCAGCGTTTTTATTTACATTTTGCACAGAATCTCAACAATTGTTTGAAAATGGGGTTGTAATAATAGAATAGGCAAAAGCCTTTAATTCAACTGGTAAATAAGTGAAAAGTGTTTGCATATTCAAAAATGCTGATCTGTTCTGTTTATCTCACTCAGCTGAACTTGACTGAATCGTGGCGAGGGCCGATCAGGTGCACGGCCCAGCTAGCTCACACAGGGCTGCTACCTCATCAGCAGAACAAGCATTACACTCACAGAGCCAGCACCCCTCATGCCAATGCTCTGTGCCACTTCCACATCGCTGCTAGCATCAACCCAGCCACAGGTAATTGCAGCATCAGCTACTTTTGACCTCAGTGTCAGTTTCATATCCTTTGACCATCCAACTACCAACTTTCTGCACTTCAACTTTCATTAAAGCCTGTCTACTTATTTTTTTTTTTTATTTTCTTCTATTAGCTGTAGTTTTTGTGATGTTTTAACAATGAACTGGCAGAGAAACAGTGGTGGTGTTTTTTTTTTCTGTTAAGAAATTTTTGAAATGACATTTTCTGCCGTTTCTTTAGTTCGGTGTGAGTTGGGGTTGGACTAAATTTGGCACAAGTGACATCAGATCAACCAAAGTACCAATCAGCATTATGTACATGTAAACGCCAGGTACTCGTGTTCCTCTCCCTCACATAAAGTGATTGCTCTTCCGCTGCTCTGAGTCCCAGACTAAACTCCCAGCAAGTACATTATTAAAGCTTTTTTCACATTTGTTAACATTGCTTTTATGAAGGTGTATTACACCAGTGTTTTGTATCGTAGTTAGACACTGCTTGGTCCTTGTGTTAGCCACCTGTTACAGGATCCTACTATAAGCGATTAACTTCGTTTACAAGAGAGTGATAGGTGTGGTCAGCCTTAACTGTAGAAATAAAACACGTTAGCCATGCCCCCTAACATCAAGGCTCGCAGTGTTTCCCCGCAATTGCACTCTACAGGTGTGGCACACAAGAAATTTCTTTACCATGTCCACAAATATGACTATGCCGACTCATAACAGGAGCTTGTGTGATCAGCCCAGCCGTTAGCTAGCTACCTATAGGTTATGGATATAATGTTAGTTCTGCTGAGTTTTTTTAAATGTCAGACACAATATGCCTGTGATCTACGTGTAATAAGATGAAAGCCTGAGTTCTCAACCATTAGCTGTAAAGTGTATGTAGATCTCTAAAATGACCATTACAAGCTTGTTCTCTGTTTTGCACCTTTTTATTTACTATTTAAAGATTGATCAAGAAGTGCAAGAAGAGCACTTATCTATTAAATTCTTATATTACTTACTATTAAATTGTATTAGTTTATACATATTTTGTGAATTTAACACTGGAAAACACTTCTCTGTGGCATATCTTTAATACTAAAAAAATTTACAACTTTTGAAACCATGATGGCAGGATCTTCAGCATTACTGACTGTGGAGTACTATTTAAAAGAAGACATGAAAAATGAAGGAGGTTAAAAAAAATGTAAATGATAACATTAAGAAAGGACTGCTGAACAGTGTGGTATTGATATACATGGTGATGGTCTATGAACTTTAATGGATAATGAGCTGGTCTTGTGAAACGAATTCTCTTTCAGTTATGTGTCTGAGTGAGTTTTGTGTCTGAGTGAGATGTTTGCCTTGGTGAGTAGGTCCAAAGCTGGAAAGATTATGTCGGAGTGTGGGAGGAAGTTATTCGTGTTTAAGATGTGGTTCTACCACTGTGACCACACACATTTTAAATGTCAGTTGAATTTCAGCAGTGAGAATTCTGGAATGATTTTCTACCTAGTGCTGAAGTGCAGAACTGCTTGAAAGTTTCAATAAGTCCAGTGGTCTTGCCAGCATATATAGTTCTATAATTTGTACAGGCAGTCCAAAATTTTATTTGTAAATATGTTCATTTACAAGTCATGTACATTTACAAGTTTGGTTATCTAGTGGCAAATGTGCTGTGTTAATCCAGATATCCCGTTACTGCCCTCCATCTCGTCACTGAGCGGATCAGATGAGGAGGAGCCTGGTGGACCTTTTACTGTCCATTGGCTTAACAACAAAGAGTTGCAGCTCACTCTCACCATGGAGGTGTTTCTTCAGCAGATCAGGAGCAGTTTGGAGCAGCAGAACCAACCCCAGGCCAGCCAGGCTGACGAAGGTTTGTATTATTCATGAATGGGGTTCTCACATTTGATGCCTTTTGATGACATTTTCTCAATACGTGATGTGTATCATGATATTTCATTTTTCTTTAAGGACTGACAATAGATAGTTGTCTTTATGTACTGACAGTACCCATTTATCGTGTTGTTATTTATTATGCTAATGGTGTGTCCCTCACCCCAAATTGATGGTTGAGTTTGAGATCACCTTTGATGGTGGCTTATCTTACATTTCAGAATAACCTTCCACACGTTGGTCATCTAGATCAGAGCTTCCCCACTACTGGACCGCGGACCGGTACCAGACAGTGGATCATTTAACCAAGTCTAACTGCTGAAATCTACTATTTTCATACTATCATTAATGTAACTAATAATATTATACAAGATTCTTTATTTAAGCCCTAATTCTTCCCATTAAATTTCATGGACATGTCGTCTCTGTGGTCTGTGTGCATGCATTCTGGTTGTTATTGGCTGCTTTCAGCTGAAGGATTTCTGTGCAAACACAGAAAAAACATGGAAAACAAGAACAAAATGATACCAAGATGATCAAAAAATATTAAAGTTCATCCACACAGCAGAAATAACTGCTGCAAGATAGAAGAAGCAGCAATATGCTCAGGAGAGAATCACCAGAAGTGCCAATTCGTAAAATATATACCAATTTAGGAAATGTCTGCTGATCTTCCAACAACACGCATTTCTAAAATGCAGCCAGTGCAAAGTATTTCATGCAAGCCCCTCTATATTCAGTAGCATTAATACCAGCCACACATCACAACCAGCGCAACAGCTTTTGGGCATCATCAACCACCAAACAACCCCCGCCCCTCCACCATCCGGTCTGTGAAAGCCAATGTGGGTTGGGCATTGGTCCATACTGTTAACAAAGGTTGGGAACCACTGGTCTAGATGTTTGGGACACGCTCTATAGAGCTTGACGGCATGTAAGCCAACACTTCTGTGTTGAACCAAGTAAAATAAATAAAACTTTCTTCATTCACGGTACAGACTTTGACGAGGAAGGCAATGCTGTAAGCCCTGAAGACAAAAAAGGAGAGGCGAACGTTGATGCAGCCTCCAGCCCTCTCCCCAAAGCTGCGGTGGAACACCAGGTGGATGTGTTGCTGGGTGACTGGAACAGGGGGGCGGACATGCTCTTCAGCATCCACCCCATGGATGGCTCTCTGCTGGTGTGGCACGTAGACTGGCTGGATGAGTATCAGCCCGGAATGTTTCGTCAGGCACAGGTAGGCGAAACAGGCTACTTATTTTCTTATGTACATTATGCCAGTAGCCCTCATGTAAAATGGGATTGTTAGGATTGTTTGTGTTTAAATTTGCCTGTGTTTGCTCAGTGACTCAGGATTTTCACCAGGAAACATCTTAGGCCCTCGAGTAGGGCGTTGATGGGTTAAACAGGATAACAGCAGAAGTTATTTTATAAACATACACAGGCATATGTGTTTTTTTTTATTTTATGTGTTTGTTTTGTTTTTGAAATTCACTTTGTCTGTTGCACTCATTCTGCTGGCTTAGATTTTCACAATTCTTCACACTTTTAAGACTGCCTGGTGATTTGTAATTGTCAGCCTGTGTAGCTGATGCAGCCTATGCTTTGCAAATGTATTGTTGACCTGCTAGGCTTTTCCAGGCTGATGTGGTAGGGCAGTGCCAGAATCATTTACTACTGCAGCACAGGTAGCTGAATTAACAAGTTTAGTCCACAGCATGGTATGGAGCAGTGGGATTTACAATGAGAGATTTGATGTTAAACTATATATATTATGTAAAAACTTATGTTCATGTGTTTATTTCATTTTAAAAATAATACAATTCATGCATTTGTAGCATGTTGAAGTATATATTTTTCTCCCACAAGCAATCCCTGTGACCCTGTGACATAGTAATTTGGGCAACTGGTTTGCTGATCAGTTGTGCACTGTATTGTTCTCCTCATCTTCCCATCACAGGTGTCTTTCGTGTCCCGAATACCAGTTGCCTTCCCCACTGGTGATGCCAACTCGCTTAGCCGTAGCGTGGTGATGTACGCCTGCAACAAAAATGTGGACCTGGCCATCCAACACGGCCGCCAGCGCCCCGCGGGCTTGCCCCGCTCCTCCTCAGTCCTGATTGGACTAGGCCAGAGCAAGCCATGCTCCAACAGCCTCCGTCTGAGCATTTTCACCCCTAACGTGCTGATGATCTCAAAGCATGCAGACGGTTCCCTCAATCAGTGGGCAGTCAGCTTCGCTGAAGGCTCGGCATTCTCGACTGTGCTAAGTGTTTCACACAAGTCCCGCTACTGTGGCCACCGCTTTCACCTCAACGACCTAGCCTGCCACTCGCTACTGCCCCTGCTACTCACCACCTCACATCACAATGCTCTGCGCACACCTGAGGTAGAAAACATCCTGGCCCAATCTTTACCTGGCCCCGCCTCCTCGGGCCAGAAGACCCGGGCAACCCTAAGCGCTGTGTCCCAGGATCCAAACGCTATCTACAGTGAGCTGATTCTGTGGAGGGTTGACCCAGTTGGTCCTCTCTCCTTCTCAGGGGGTGTATCTGAGCTTGCCAGGATCAACTCCCTCCATGCCTCGGCCTTCTCCAATGTGGCCTGGCTCCCAACTCTTATCCCCAGCAACTGTCTTGGTAAGGGTATCTCCTCTTTGTGACCTGGCTCGCTCACTCACTCACTCATTTGCCTTCAGCAAGCTGAAGGGGAGCTATTGCCAGTAAGTTTACTTTTATATGCACAATTGCACACAAGGGAAGTGTCTCACAAATGCACCTGTATTTACGATCGTAAGCTTCCCTATACATGAAGTAAAAGGCTTTAAGCGCCCTACATAAGTATGCAAATGCAAAGAACATTCAATACTGTTACAGTTGTTTAAGACAGCTGTTTACTGTTATTGGGAATGTTCACTTAACCGGAATAAGGATACTTGAGCTATGCTGAGGAAATGACCACAGGCAAAGGAATTCTATGTAAGAGTGGCACTTTTCATCAGTGGTACTGTGTTCTTCTTTTCTTGTGTTCTAAATTCTTGGAACGTTTTACTATGAGTTTCTGTCCTTGTCTAATGATTACTCTTTTATTTTGTATTTGTAAGGTGTATATGGCAATTCGCCAAGTGCCTGCTTTGTCGCAAGTGATGGCCACTTCCTGAGACTGTATCAAGCAGTCATTGAAGCCAAGAAGCTGCTGAGTGAACTTTCCAATCCTGAAATATCAGTAAGAGCAAGCTGTATGTCCAGTGTGGCCTGTTGACCAAGTATAATTAGTTAAAACAAAAAAAAAGCCTCACGCTTAATTTTTTTTTATTCTGTTCAGAAATATGTTGGGGAAGTGTTCAACATCATAAGTCAGCAGTCTACTGCAAGGCCAGGTTGCATCATCGAGCTTGAGGCCATTACAGACTTTGTACGTATATGCTCTCACACTCACATAGCAGTCACAAAAAGTGAAGAACTATACAACAGTTATGGTAAATATTATTGTGGTTAGTTCTTTGTTTGAATACATAATCATAGCACTGTTTAATAGAAATTATAGGTTATGTGCCCTTGAGCCCATTTGCCACTGCTGAGGCTTTATGCTGCTTCTTAATGTCTCCACAGCAGGGAAAGGAGATCCAGCTGTTACATGTGTTTGAGGAAGACCTGATCTTGGGAAACGAGAAAAATGATGAGTGTTCACAGGAGCTCCCGCCTGCCGAGACCGGTAGGGAGCATCTCAGAAATTCCATTTGATCTTTGCCAACTTTCTTTTTGATGCTGTGAAATTCAAAGTGCCCATGTCCTTCACTTAGTCTCTAGCCCGGCACTCTTCTCTGCACGTTTCTTTCTGGTGGTGATCGAGTTTACCCAGAGCAGAAGATCACTCCTACATATGTGGCATCTGCAGCTGGCAGCAGTTCCTGTTGCTATCGGTGCGTATGTGATTTTACACAGAAAACATTCTCTTTGTCGTTTGTCCAGTAGCAGTTTAGAGTGTAAACACATTTTTGCTGACTATTGATGCAATTTTTGCAACGGTTGTAACAAGGTTTCCTATTTTATAGTTTTTTGTGATTTAAATTTATTGTTCTTATTTTTTTCCAGAGGAGACCTCAACTCCTGTTGATAAAGACATATCGGCTTCGTCACCCATCAACAACTTTAACTTTGAGTCTTTCAGCTCTCCACCATCCCAGAGATCTAAGTTGAGCAGGTCCAACCTGCGAAGTGCATTTCGCCTCACTCTGACTAATGAGAGGGTTTTTAGTCAGGAGCTGAGCCTTCCAGAGGGAGTTGAGGTTACACGCGTAACTCCAGCAGCAGGTGTTGACTGATGCTTTTTGTCTCTGGCCAAGGCCATCCTAAACTAATGAAACATATCACTTGATGTTTTGTTGCTTCTGTTTAGCATGCAGAGTATCTGTTAACCACAAATCAGTTTTGATTAGCTAAGCAATTTGTTTTATTATACATGTGCTACAAATTATTCAGTGAAATCTAATTGTTGTAAGGAAACACGATTAAATCCCTCTTGCATTCATTGCAGGCCACTTGAGCTCATCATCCTTGCAGCCAGCTGGACGAGCTCCGTATCTTCTTGCCACGTCATGTTCTGATGGGACTGTGAGGTTTTGGAGTTGTAGCACAGCCTCTGACAATGATACTTCTGATGAAATTGCACCTACCTACTTCTGGGATGAATGGCCTTTACTGGTGGAAGAAGGTCTAGCCAATACCAGTGCAGTGAGCGTTCCTGGCTGGCCGGTAGGCGTCAGCTGCTGCCACACTAGCAGAGTGGCCGTGGCCTACAAGGATTTGAAACCTCAGGGACTTACTAAGGAGCCCCTTATTCATGTGAGTATATTCCAGTGTGAGTCCACAGGAGGGTCCCAGTGGATGCTAGAGCAGACTCTTAAAGTGGATAGTTTGGGAAGTATTCCTAGCAATGGCTCTGATAAACACCTGATTGTGCCAAGCCTCCAGGATGGTTTGGTGGGGCCTGGGGACTGTTTAGGCACCAGTGGTAAAAGTCTTGTTCACCTAGACTGGGTTTCTAGAGAGGATGGTTCTCACATACTGACGGTAGGTCTTGGATCTAAACTGTACATGTATGGACCTCTTCTGGGTAAACCTCCGGAGCTGGGCCTGTCTGACAGCAGCAGGGAGCGCTGTTTTTCCCGGCTTGTTCTGTTGCGGGTAGTGGACTTGGTGTCCTCTGTAGAGGGTTCCTTACCCATTCCAGTATCCCTGTCCTGGGTTAGAGATGGTATTCTGGTAGTGGGCATGGACTGTGAGATGCATGTCTACTCCCAGTGGCAACCACCAGCTCCAGCCAAATCAGCAATGACCACATGTGATACAAATGTTGGCAGTGTTAGCTCTCTTATAGCAGCAGTGAAGCAAGAGGGGTTAAGTCTTCAGCCTCCAAAAAAGACTCTCACCAGGTCTATGACCAGTCTAGCACAGAAGCTTAGTGGCAAAAGGACAATGTATGACCTTCCAGCTGAGATGGAGGACTACGGCTTATTTGAGGCTGCACATCACCTGTTCCCCACCCTTCCTCAGTATCACCCAGTGCAGCTTTTAGAGCTGATGGACCTGGGAAAGGTGCGACGGGCCAAAGCCATCCTGTCTCATCTGGTCAAGTGCATAGCTGGAGAGATAGTGGCTCTGAAGGACACTGCCGTCAACCAGGAGCGGCGTTTACGATCCCTCACAATCAGTGCAAGCGGCAGCACTGCCAGGGATCCCAGAATGTTTAGCAAGACAGAGAATCCAGACTACACGGAGATCGACTCCATCCCACCTCTGCCTCTGTATGCTCTGCTTGCTGCAGATGAAGAGACAACCCCCAAAGCCAAAGACAAAACGGCCAGCATCCATGGTGACAGTGGCCACAGCTCCAGTCGGACAGACACCTACGACGAGCTTTTCCAGGCCACCACTGTGAGCTTGGATGATGTGGATCCTTTAGATGACGAGGACGATGATTCTAATGCCAAAGTCATCGATCTGTCCCAGTATAGTCCAACTTTCTTTGGCCCAGAGCATGCTCAGGTTCTGTCCAGCCACCTGCTTCACTCCAGCCTGCCAGGCCTGACGCGAATGGAGCAGATGTCCCTCATGGCCTTGGCTGACACTATCGCCTCCGCCAGCACAGACATCGGGGAAAGTCAAGGGAAAAGTCAAGGTTGATACCTTTTGTTTACTACGAAGTTATCTAGCTCCAGTACTGAAGGGCCATACACAGAAGAAAAAAGAAGTTGTTGAATTTACCTGATTCCAATATGTAATCAGTTACACACAAATGAAATATTATCAATTTTAAGTATGTGATTAACATAAGTTTTAAGTAGTTACTCATAGTATGTAACTTATTTAATTCATGTTGAGCCAGTGTACCCATATGAATCATGTAAATTTAAAGCAACCCTTTAAGCAACTTTTTTTTTCAGTGTAGTACAATTTCCCTGCTCAGACACACATTGTTCATCTCAACAGTTAGTTAACAGGGGCCATATTACACAATATCTTAAGTCTGAAATCTTATCTTGTTTAGTCACCATGAAACTTCAGTTGGACTGAGGACAGAAGCTTTTACAGAACAACTGTTCTTAAGTTCATAATCTTATCCTAACTCCAGCTACGAACACAGTATTACAGAAACATCCTAACCAGACAAAATTTCCTAAATTCTGTCATAACTTTAAGACAACCTCAGAGGTAACTTAACGTCTGTTTTAACCATTTGTTTTTATTGTTTTATGCAATGACAGGCAGCATAGTTCACTGTAACTAGCATAATGACGTTAAATTTATCTGCATTGAAAACGGTGCTTTGACGGAGCAGTTTTTATTGTTGTAACAGCGTTTTAAAAGCCTCAGACACTCATATTACCTTTGTGTTAATGTTAATGAAAACCCGTCAGACAAAATATTACAGTTGAGGGTGGTGAATAATGAGGAGACAGAACTGAATATGTTGCTGTTTATTAGGTGAAATAACATTAGCGCGTTTGGGTAAACAAACTGGGGAGCAGTGAAGCAGTGAGCACTGATAAACATCATGAAGTGCTGTCACAATATTCTTAACTTTGAGTTTATTGCGTTTTAGTTGACCTCTTTTACATTAGTAACGGTAGCTGTCTGGCTAACTAACTTGATTGTATTGATTACGTGTTTACGTTTCAGCTGCGCGTATGGTTGGTTGCTAGGTAGCAGACATGACAGTTGATTGTCGATTTCAATTGAGTAAGTTAGGCTAACTTTTAGATAAGATGCTATAAGATTCCTAAATTAAGATAAGATTTACTTTTGTAATACGAATTTGTGGAAAATCTTATCTTGGTCTGACAGATCTTAACTTCAGAAAAAAGACAGGACGTTTTTTGTAATACGGCCCCTGGTTCCAGTTATCAACACTGTAAAGAGTAAGTCTCTCAAAGGAAGCATTTCACATCAGACCAATTTCAGTGACTCTTTACATTTAAGGCAAGGAAAGTCATTATTTTTCAGTTATGCTTTGCATTTTAGCTCTGTCGTTTATGATTTTCTTTTTTTTCAGCATTTTATTTTTAAAAATTATAAATTGTCTAATGTACCTCATAGAAACCAGGAAATTGTTTCAAAAACAGTCATTTTCACACTGCTGAGTGTCAGGCGACAAGTCTGCGTTGACAGGCGCAGGAAAATGATTTTTTTTTTTTAAATCAATATTTTTAATTTTATATTTAACTATTTAATTTAACTATTTAAAGTTATTTGAAAAGACTTAACTGAAAATACTATTTTTGATAATTTTGTCTGAAAGAATTTTAGATGGCTGAAATTCCAGTTTGTCTCTATTAGGTCAGTTTGAGCAGAGAAATCACTAAACTGTGCTGGATTCCAGTTCATTGAAATTGGACACACTTGGATTAATGTCAGTCTGCTTCTTTTTGACTTTGACTAATTACATACTTGCTATAGATGCTTAACCAAATGTCATACCATAAATCAGGTGGAGAAACGCTGGATGAGTGCGGTTTAAAATTCTTGCTGGCTGTTCGTTTGCATACCTTCCTGTTGACCTCGTTACCTCCAGCGCATCGCGCACAGCTCCTCTGTCAAGGTACAGTTGCTGAGCTAAAGATCGTGTACAATGTTCTTGTTCTAGTATTGGAATATAAGTATTTAACTGAATAGAAACATACCAGTATTTTTATTTGTGTTGATTTGATCATCTCCCTGAGGGTCGGCTTTGCTGTCACTTCAGATGTTGCTCCACTGGGTGGGTTGTGCTAATTTGAGGACTCAAGGCTATACACAGCAGTCAGTAATCCTCATTTCTGGCCTACAGGATTGTCTACCTGTCACTATGCCTGGGCATTTCACTCTGAGGCTGAGGAGGAGCTGCTCAATATGCTTCCTGCCATGCAGAAAGGAGAGCCCACCTGGCCTGAGCTTAGAGCTATGGGTGTGGGCTGGTGGCTAAGAAGCACCAACAAGCTTCGCAGGTGCATTGAGAAGGTTAGTGCAGGCAAAACAGTTGGTTTTAAAGCTTTGATAAAAAATATCCAGTATCTAGATTTTATCATTTTATTTATTTGTTTATTTATTTCAAATATGTATATTTTTCTCTAATTAACACAATGTTTCTGGCTGAGAAGCTGCATTTTAGGTACCTTATTATGCATAAATGATACTTTTATGGGTAGGAATATCTTTTTATTCCTGCCAGTCATTGAATCACTTCCATCCTACTTCTTACCAGGTAGCAAAAGCGTCTTTTCAAAGGAACAATGATCCCTTGGATGCAGCCCTATTCTATTTAGCTATGAAGAAGAAAGCTGTAGTTTGGGGACTTTACAGGTATGTCTTAGATAAACTCTTATATTTTATTGTGAGATATAGGATAAAAAGCTGCCTACTTTCTGCATTGTTTAAACTCACCGAGAACCTCTGTCATATGAAGGTCCCATAAGAATGTGAAGATGACAGCCTTCTTCAGTAACAACTTTAATGAGGACCGATGGAGGAAGGCTGCCTTGAAGAATGCGTTCTCTCTGCTTGGAAAGCAGCGGTTTCAGCACTCTGCTGCCTTCTTTCTGCTGGCAGGCTCCCTCAAGGATGCTGTTGAGGTAAAAATGTCCTTAGGACTGTCATTGTTTTAGATAATACAGCCGCCTTTTGAAGTGGTGCACTTACACTCTTTAAATTCAAGCAGGAAATTAAATACGTGTCACGAAGTTCAACTTTTTTTGTTCTCTGTAAGATGTGCTTTGCATGTATTGTCTTGATATTACAGGGAAAAGTGCTGAGAGGTCTTTCTGTGAAGTTTTATCCCCACTACCTATTGTCTTTGTGTCCTTCTATGTGTAAACATCAGAAAGAAATGGTTTCTATTAAACTGCTATGCCCTTTCTTAGGTTTGCCTGGAGAAGATGCAGGACCTACAGTTGGCCTTGGTCATTAGCAGATTATATGAGTCTGATTTTGAGACATCTTCCACCTATAAGAAGATCCTACAGAGGTATGTGTTGGGTCAGGACCACCAGATCCCAATGCATCAGGATCCATTTCTACGTAGTATGACATACTGGGTCCTAGATGATTACAGCAGAGCCTTGGATACTTTGCTTGAGCAGCCCAACCCAAATGTTGGCGCTTTAAACCAAGGTAAGAATTGATACTGTGTTGCAAATTTTCATTTTTATTTTTATTTTATTTTATTTTATTCATTTTATTTTGAAGCTTCAAGTTACCTAAATCTGTGATTGAATTACATTGCATGCGTAAAGTAGGGATGTGCCGATGCAATACTCTATTTAGGACAGATACTAAAAAATGCCACTGGGTTAGATATTAGAAAAAATAAAAAAGTATAATCTGATATGATTCATTAGCCTAAACTATGATGTAAATGCTTAACTGAACTTTAAACGAGATATCCAACCAGGCCTGTCAATGAATATTCTAAATATGATTATCAAATTGTGTAAAAAATTTGAATTACATGATGGACAGGAGTCACACAGCATCGCTTTCATGATTAAAAATGAGATGTAGGTCCAGCTGAAATGAGCAAATAATTCAACAACGGCTGTGTGGCAGAGAGTTCACAAGCCATCTTGGCTGCAGAGAGAGTGATTTGCAATCCAGGCAATCTAAAAAGCCCTGTGTTGAAATACTTCAAGCACTGCTCTGAAGTATTTCAAGCACTGCTCTGAAATACTTCAGAGCAGTGCTTGAAGGTCAGTAGATGACAAAATTGTGGATCCTTGAGAGAAAGTTATGTAAGCTACAGTTAGCCTACTATTCCAGCACTAGCAACCTGAGGGCACATCTTGAAAATATGCACCCAAATGCATCCGATTCAATTCCTCCTCAAATTCATATTCCCTCTGTTAAATTATAGTTGCAGGCACGTGCATCCACACAGCACTGATATGATGCACTGAAACAATGCACTGAAAACAGTGGAAACTGAAACAATGGTACGCAATGAATGCGCTGAAACAATAGGAAGTGAAATGAGTGAAAAACCTTTATGCCTCAATTTAATAATCCAGTCGGCGGCAAAGCAAAGATTTACGCCTTTCTTGAATCTCTTTTACTTTCGGTAGTTGCAATGTGGTTTGGTGCTGATTTCTGCTTAGTGAATGTACACTCCTGAGGATGTGATTCATGAAGGGGAACGTGAATTTGGGGGGCAGCTGAATCGGATGCAGTACTCTTGTTGTATTAGTTTGCCCTCTTATGGACAAAATGCACAAAAATAGATATTGAAACCTATGTGTTCATCATTTTGGTCAATTTTGACAGCCCTAGTTATTAGAAGAATCAGCAGCATGTAGCTCAAAAGTGAGTGAGACGTATCAGCAGTGTGGTCATCAAGTCAGATGTGTGGAGTAATGCAGCTAACTTGATATCAGGTGTAATAGCTTAAAGTTTCAGTTGTGAGTGCCTTAAGATGCCATGTCTACATACTGTGTTCCACTGTGCATATTATACTGGAAATGCAATTATTTTTATGCCAAGTTATGGTCTACAGTGCAACTTGTTTTTTGCCTGGTCGTTGAGGTATAGGCTACATTGAGTGTTGAAACTTTTGCACAAAGTTGCACTTAAAACTTTAGTTAAGCATCCAGTGTGCATTTTTTTTGTTTGTTTGGTGCATAATTTGAAAACGGTTATCTTTTTCATTGTGTTAAAATGATGACTGGACCAAGGAAAATGGCCCAAAATTACTTAATCTTGTTACATTAACTTCCATTACAAGTTTTAACAATGTTTGTTTTTTTTTCTTTTTTCTTTTTTTCACAAGTTACCATTTGGAGATACAAGATTTTGTTCCATCAATGTCGATATGTAAGGGTTGAGCTGTCCTGAGTCTCTTTGCTTCTGCCACTGTGTGTAGTTCTTCAGTGAGATAACAAGCAGTTTTTTGCCATTTAAACTTCACTGAGTGTTTTTAACACTGTAGTTTAATGTCATACACATTTTGAAAATGTTTTTCACCATGTTCCCTTCAGACCTCATTAAATTCAAATACTTGAATATTTGTTAGTTTTTGTTTCTGTTTAGTGTTTGGAAGCTTCATTATTTTTTAAGCCACTGATTAAAATGGAGTTTGATTCATGTTTTGTCAGACGAATGATAAAAAAAAAACACTTCAAGTTGGGTAATTTGGGAATGAATGTTAGGGTACTTGTTCAGAAATAGTGTTCAAAACCTGTAAAATCCTGTACAGACCAGCCTTACTGGGACCTTAAAATTTTTGTGGGTGATTTATGTTGTTTATTATTTCTAGACGTTGTCTTTCTCTGTGTAACTATGTTATTTCTTGCAGGAACCACTGCCATTTCTCCTTGCAGTCCAGAGGTTTTCAACTTCTACACCTACCTCAGAACTCACCCGCTACTGCTTCGCCGCCATTTTGGCTCCTCAGACAAAGCTAAGGTGGGATTGACTGCAGAAGGTCGCATGGCTGACTCCATTAGCCTCATTGAGAGGAGACTGTTCTTCACAGCTGCTTATGCCCACTTACAAGCCGGTTGCCCCATGCTAGCTCTAGAAGTCCTCTCCAAAATGCCCAAAGTTGTCAAGAGATCTAAGCTGATGCTCAATCAAGAGAAGCCTTCACCTTCTTTTAGTGGTTCTGGCAAATCAGCTGGCCAGAATGGTAAAGACCAAGCCTCTACACTGGACTGGTCCCAGCCTATGCTTAACGGGCTCGAGTCCATTTCGGACACCTTGTCCTCTCCCAGAGAAGACCACAGCCAGTCAGACTCTGTGCTGAGCTTTGACTGGAGCCAGCCGTCTATGACCCTGCAGGATGAACCATTGGAGTTGAAGTGGGACAGCGACAAGGAAGACTCTGAAGATGAAGAAGCTGGGCTAGCCATGAAAAACATCAAACCGGAAGACTCCACTGTCATTCATGACCGTGCTGACTCTACCTCTGCTTCCACAGATGTGGTGGACAGCTCCCTGCTTCTCTCTGAAGACATCCTGGCTGCCCGCCTCAAGTTTAGCTCTTGTCTGAAGATACTCACGGCTGAGCTGCGGACGCTCTCCACAGGGTACGAGCTTGATGGGGGCAAGCTGCGTCACCAGCTGTGCCATTGGCTGGAGCGGGAGGTGGTGGCCCTCCAGAGGTGCTGCGGTTACAACCCTTGCCTCCACCAGCTGGCTGGGGGCATTTCAGCTGACCTCAGTCAGGTTGGTGGTAGTGGAGATGAGCAAGAGGCCCAAGGGGCTGCTGAGCAGGCCAGAGCAGTGCAGCGCAGACGCAGGCTGTGGCTGCAGAGGAACCAGCCTCTACTGCGCATCTTCCTCAGCTACTGCAGCCTGCATGGCTCCCATGGAGGAGGGCTGGCCTCTGTCAGGATGGAGCTCATTCTTCTGTTGCAGGAATCCCAGCAGGTAAGTTGCTTCATCACACAGTAGCTGTAAGCACTGAGTGATTAGCTTGTATTAATGAATTGGTGCGTAAAATAAAATCAAAGCAGAAAATAAAATTGTAGACGACTTTAGGAAGAAAAGAGATTAACTTGTGGAATCCAATTCCTTGTGGCCAATGGTTCAGTTTAAAATTGCCATTTTATTTCTTTGATCAACTTATTTATTTATTGTTTTGCCTTTTTGATATTCAGTTTAATGTGCAATATATTTAATGCTTTATTTTATTTGGTCACTTTGTTCTTTAAATCGATCAGTTTTATGATTATACACTTTATTTATGTATTTTTGTATTTTCATGTTAAATTCTACTCCTTTTTCAGTATCTTGCATGGGATAAATTAGCCATATCTTAATTACCAAATAGTGATAATACATATCTCGTACAGGTTGGTGCGTTATTACACAATACTGTGCAAGTCAAAAACCGTTAAGTCATTAAGTAAATCAAGTCAGAAAGCCATTAAGTTTTTCATTTCAGTGTCTGGAAAAACGTAGATAAGCATGTTTAAAAGAAAATTACACAGAAGCCAACAGCTAAATATAATTATTTATGTAAGCTGCATTATTCTGTCTCCAACCTTTACCTTTATTACAGCTTCTGTTCTTTTCAAGAGGCCTACTTTCAGTTTTTCAAAGAAATCTGCGGAGATATTTTTCCACATCTCCAAAGTTCAGTCTTAGAAGTTGGTTGCATTTTCTGCTTCTCACGATCCAAACAATCCCCAATATATTCACTAGTGTTGAGGTCTGGACTCTGAGGTGCTTTGTCTGTTGTTCTGAAAACACCAGCAGCTTCTTTGTTTGATTTGCAAGTTCTTTTATTTTTGAATCTTTTTTCTTTTCTTAGTACTGGCTTTTTATCAGCTTCATCCTTTCAGGCCCAAGTTGAGAACACTTGCAGAATTTATGAGGAATTCTAGTTTTAGAAAATTCTGTTTTTTTGTTTTTGTTTTTTTTTTTCTTATTTTCCTTTGGCTTTCCCTTTCCTTATGCATGTTGATTATCATATGTCTGATTTTCAGAAAAATGAATAACTTGCTCTGAACGGCTGTTTGACTTGAAAAGTAAATGAACAGAAAGGAGGTCTCTGACCTACGTTTCCTAAGACAAAACACTGGACTAAGCATGATATATTAAGGTTTCTTGTAATTTTCAGGCGTCTGCCACATAGTGGTATGAGATTAAAACCAGGTCTCAATAGTCTTTGACTAAGTTATCTGGGAAAGAAGAACTGAAAAGAGTTTCAGTACTAGAAAACTGCTCAGAAAGTGTTGGTAATGGGAAGAAGTGTGACAGTTCCAGCACTGGCTGACAGATGGAGCTGAAACACAGGGCTCTGAGGAACCTGTCCTCCTTCCTGCAAAGCTTCAAACAAACAGCCAGACACAAGCGCCGTCTGAATACACGCAGCGTCAGGCCCGGCTGTCACAGAAATCAGCGGCCTCCTTTGACTAATCCTAATTGACTTTCTGTTTCTGTCTCCTGGCGCTGACAACAGGGCTTGTGAAAACTCTGAGTTAGCGATAGTGGAATTTATGATTGTTGTTGTTGTCGTTTGAATATGAATTATCTATGTATTTTTGTGCCTTCTCCAGCATTGTTGTTTTGATGAATTGTACTCTCTAATTTATACATATTTATTTATTTCCATCAGGATGACAGTCCTCAGCTTCCTGTTCAGCAGCAAGCCTTAGTTCCCCTCCTGCTGGCCTGCACAGCCAGCTCCAAAACGGTTGTGGCCAATCCCATAGTTCATCTGACCAACCTGACACATGACATCCTGCACATCATTAATGCACTGGACTCCCCTCCCCACCCAGATGTCATTAACAATGAGGTAAGGTGGTGTTCCAGAACATGCATGTTTTACTAAGCCTGGAGACAAATCTCAGTTGATTTTCTTCGAAATTCTAATGTAGTTTCTGCTCTCGTATTTAGTTCAGCATCAGTTTTAAGTACTCTTTACAAGCTCAAATCAGAGGACACATCTAAAGCATGTTTGTTTTATACTGGAGTCACTCTGACCATATTTGAACTTTGGATGTTTCCAAATGGAGTACATAGTGTTTTTTTGTTGGTGAAGAAATGTGTTTTTGTTGTTGCTGCTGCTGCTGTTGTGATAGTTTGTTAAAAGCTCGCTCCAGGACTACTATGGCTGCTAATTTATTTTGAATGGCTGCTCTGCTCTCAGATCTACGTGATGCACACGCTGGCAGCCTCCCTGTCCGCCTGCATCTATCAGTGCCTCTGCGACAGCCACAATTACAGGTGGGTTGAACTCTGTGGTCCACTCTTATTGTTGGAGCACGGCACTCTGCTCTCAGCCACAAAACGGTCACTTGGAATAGAGCACACTGAGAAGAACTTGAAAAACGTTATCAGCGCTTTTAGTCGGGCCTGTGTTTTCTGACCCACTTTTAGTCCTTTTGTTCCTGCTGACTAGAGTTTTCAAAAGACTTGATATTCCTCTTGTTAAAGTGCATCTTGCAAACCTGACAGTGACACAGAGTAGAAAGGTTTCAGACTCCCAAGTTGGTTTTGCTGTGAGGCTCGTGGAGAGCAGTTGACCTTAGAATGTCAGCCTTTGAGCCTTTGGCTGGCTTGTGACATTTTTCAAGGGAGTGGATTTTCTTTGGCATGTGAATACAGCCTTTGTGAGGATCTCTACACATGTGCGTTCAGATTAAATGTTACATCTACTGTTACAACTAAGACTATGCCCGTTGTCCTCCATTTGTCTGTAGTATACCATAAAGAATATAATTAATGGGGATACTTGGTAATTTGAGAAATTTGGACTTGCAGTTGGTTTATATTGTCTCTTACACTAGAAATGTTTTTTTTTCCCCCTAGTCATATCAACCAGTTTACAGGAACAGTGTACCAAAGCATCCTTCTTTCCCATCAGCACCCTGTGCGAACCATCAGCATGGATGAAGCTGTCCTTCCCAACACCTCTCCAGCACAGTGGCCTGGTAAACTACATCCATCACTTCTTTTTGGATCTAAATAATCTGTATGGTTTCAATACATGTTCCAAGTCCAGATCCTTTGATTTGTTGCTCTAGTAAACATCATGGCACGCTGAAATTAGCTTCAGTGCTTTTTCATCATCCTGTACACTGTCAAAAAATGGTACTGTGTAGGTTTTTTGCTCATCAAGGTACAAACAATGTACATGTATCTTCAAAGGTACAACAGTGGTGTTAAAGTCTAAATGTGTATCTTTAAATAGGTTTTTCACAGGAGAAATGTATGTATTCGTACCTTTTCGTAACCCAATGTTTTAAAACAGAATACTAAAATAAAAGAGCTGGGGACAAGACAGGTTGTGTGGAGTCAATACAACTTCAAAAATATAGTTGCACTGCGTTGTGGTACAGTTACTTTCCCTAACTAAAGGTACTGAGGATGTACCTTTGGGGGTACCACCACAGTTACTGTTTCATACCTTTTTTTTCCTGAGTGTAGCTGCGGCCTTAAAAAAGACTAGATGCTTGTGCCTAAGCTTCACACCAAATTCTGTGTTCCTGTGTCCACCGTCCTGTAGGTGCTCTGTTATTTTCTAACTATTTCTGTGATTCATGTTGCCCCCTGCAGGAATCAGTGCTTTAGTTCGGCTCCTGAGCGCTGCAGGAGAGGAGAACCAGCCGAGTCTGGGGGTGCTGCTTTGCGAGATCCTCACTGCCGTCTACCTCAGCTTGTTTGTGCATGGCTTGGCCACCCACTCCAGCAACGAGCTCTTCCGCATTGTGGCCCACCCACTCAACAGCAAGTTGTGGGTGGCTGTGTTTGGTGGTGGAGCTCGTATTCCTGTGGTGGAGAAAGCCAGTCCACCTCCAGGTTGGTTTCTTTAACAAAGATTTTCTATGCTAAGCAACATAGTCATGCTTCAGTAGTCTATAGAGTGAGACTTTCTTTTTTAAAGACTAGCAAAGGCCTTTTCTCATGATGTATCTTGAAAGTGGTAGGAACTTTTGAAAAACTACAACTGCTTTTGGCTTGTTGTTTGGGGGCAAGCTGTTTTGAAATCGGTGAGCTAGTATAACACTGTGTGTTATGTAAAACTGTTAGGCCTTCTCACTAGGCCAGGGGTGTCCAATCTTATCCATAAAGGGCCGGTGTGGCTGCAAGTTTTCATTCCAAAGGAGCAGGAGCACACCTGATTCCACTTGTTTAATTAATTGCTCAGTTTTCAAACAGCTGATCATGTCAGTCCTTCTTTGTTGGAATGAAAACCTGCAGCCACACTGGCTCTTTGTGGATAAGATTGGACATCCCTGTACTAGGTGAACGCTAGCTTGTAGTGCTAACGTGTAGTGGCATGTCCACCGGTGGGGTGGGGGTCGTGATAGGTTCAAGAACATAAGCAGTTTTGTGATGCACAAAACTAAGCTGCTACGTAGCACCCCACGAGTCACTTTTTTGGGTATACTGAGAAAGTCTGTGCTTACAATGGAAAAATGTGAACTCTGCTCTTTAATAACACATTTGATAAAAATATCAGTCAATATAACCTTGATGCCATCCAAGAGAAGTTGACCATTTAAAAACTTTTTACTGCAGGGGGGTTTTAAATCTGCTGATCCTCTTGCTGTGGTAGTTGTTGAGCAGCTCCTGTGCTTTGCTCATGTGTGCAGAGGAGACTCTCAAATTCCTTATAGTTGTAATTTTGTCACAATAAACAGATCTGCTGTTTGTGCTGTTAAGGTTCAAACTTTATAGAGAACCAAATACCAATGTAACAAATGCATACTCCAGTATTCAAATTATTCGGACCAGACTTTGGGAGAAAACAGTCAATTTGATATTTATTGATTGAAAAAATAATTGATTTGGTGTCTGGTGTACCACAAAAAGAACTTTGCCATTCAGGTACCATAAAGGTGTTTCAGTTTCTTCAGCACTTTTTTCCTTTTTGTTTGTGTCTCTAACTCCCGTACATTATTAATGCACATATTCAGAGTCTCAAAGCTTGTCCAGTAAGCACGCTACTATTGCCAGTGACAGTTTGTGTTCTGTGCGTGTTTGTTTGTGCCAGCCATGGCAGAGAACCAAGAGCGGAAGCAGAGGCGCTTTAGGATGCTTTCTTCCAGAAGCAGCTCCAGGGAGGTGCCAGACAGCCCTGCCAGCCCCAGCCCCATAGTAGAGCAGGAAGCGTCCGTTTTTAAAGAGCGCTTTGTGCCCCCTGAGCTCAGCATCTGGGACTACTTCATTGCAAAGGTACAGACGTGTAATGTTTTAACCAGTCTTACCCCTATTTTTAGCTCTACTATCTTTGCATAGCATGAAAACTCTGTGCTCTCCATTTGTGTGATCTCCCAAAGCCTTTCTTGCCACCGTCCGCAAGCCGCGTTGAGTATGACTCGGAGGAAAGCCAGGAGAGTGAGGATGAGGAAGAAGAGGAAGAAGACAAATTTGCAGATGCGTTTGACACCAATTCTCCCCTTGAAGAACATTCCAACAACAACTCGTACAGGTCTGCAGGGCTATGTTTTTTTAACGGTACAGTGGGTCATTTAATTTTGATGTGATAGACTCATTGTGAATAAGTGTTCTTTTCCTTTCTGCTCAGCTGGTGTTTGATGCGTTTGGCCATGGTGCAGCTGGTGCTGGTTAACTTGAAGTCGTTCTATCCCATGGCTGGCCATGACCTACTGGGTAAGGCCTAGGATCATTTGGATTCTCACAGTGCCAATGCACCATTTCCAGTGTTCAGTACATTTTTTTTAGTTTCCTAGCTTGTGAGTTGAGGATTGTAGTTGAATGTGGTTAAATGTGGTTAAATGGTTAGAACTTTTTCTTGTTTCTACTGAGAGATTAATTTAGTAGGAATGTCTTATGTATTTAGGCTATGTGGTGTGAAACACAGCTTGCATGGTGAGAATGTTTTGATAACTGAATCCTTTTAAGGGTCCATATAAAGGAGCACCAGATTCTCTTAACTGTATTGAAATCAAATGCAGAAAGGAAATTTTTCTAAATCCTAAAAATTATTAAAATTTCAAAATGTATAGTTCGATCTTCAGTTCATTTTTGGAAACTAGGCTGCAAAAACAGCCTGTTTTGGATTCCCTGTTTTGGTAATTTCATGAAAAGCCAACAAATTTATATATAATTGTGTGCGAAAGTTTAAACACCCCTGGTCAAATTTAGTTCAGTACATGAAATAAGTTAACACATCCTCTACAGAGGCCAAGCATGGTTTCAGTTCATTTGCTGAGTTCTACATACATTTAAAGAGTAAAAGATAAAATAAAAACTGTCCCATAACTTTTGCACAGGCCACATTTTCTGTTTTATTTTCTAATATGTTAAATTCAGCAAAAAAAAACAGTAATAGTTTTATTAAACATCTAATATTTTATGGTTAGTTGATGACAAATTTAAGCTTTTCAGGCACTAACTCAGGCTATTCTTATAGCATGGTTGTGAAGTTGCTTAAATGCAGTAGTTTTCAAGTATTTGTTGTCAAAAAAGGTCATGGAAATTTTTAGAATAGGTCTTTGAGAAGTTGTGGAATTTTGTCCTTTAAAGATGTTTAAAGAGTCAGTAGACTTGCTTCACAATCATTTCACGATTTTGACTGTTTGATAAGCATCATGGGATATTGCGGGTAAGGGAGTTTTTGTTTGCGGTTTATTCTCTGTTGTTGTACGTCTTTCAGATCTGCCTGTGTGCTCCCCACTGTGCCACTCTGTACTGAAGACTCTACAGCGTTGGGAACAGGTGTTACTAAAGAGACTGGAGATTTTTGGAGGCCCTCCATCTAAATATATTTCTACACAGCCTATGGACAACACCATGGCATCTGGCCCTGCTCTTCTTAGACACAAGGCTTTGTTTGAGCCTTTGAATACACCTTTCAGGTCTGCTGTAGTAAGATGGTCTGGCATCTTTATCAAAAACAGGCAATTGTTGCTCGAATATGTTCTAATGGCCTGCATGCTTTTGTCCAGTGGTCCTGGGAATACCAGTGCTTTACATATTTTGGTGTTTTCTCTGTTTATCACAACTAATCCAATCATTCATCTAATTAAGAAGCTATTCCAAGTGAGTCAGAGGGTTAGAGCAGGGAAAACACCTCTGGGAACTGCTACTTCAGGCTACTTAAAAAGTTATTAAAGTTCTAAAACAAAGTTACAAAGCAGAATAGTGGAACAATTTTAGAAAATGTCTGGGGAAAGCTGGGAAGGGTTTTGAAAAAAAGATTCCAGATTTTCAAAATATTTTATTTTTAATTGTTTACTGTTTATCTTTGGTGAATTGCTAGTAATGATGCACGTGTATTGACAGTGCATGGTAATCACACAGGTCCCGACATCATTCTGCTCTTCCTGTTAAGAGACTGTGGCAATATCTGGTCAAACAGGAGGAGGTCCAGGAGACTTTCATCCGCAACATCTTCACCAAGAAGCGAGATCGGAACGAGGTACTCGTCTATCTGCATGCTTACTTATCTGTATGGTCAAGAGTTATGGCATATTTTAGGTTGAAAAAAAAATATGTATCCCCATATTTGTTTTTTAATGTAATATTGACATTTAACAGATTAAAGAAAGTCTATTACCTAAAGCTGGGTCCACTCTACACAATTTTGTAACACCGTTTTGCCACTAACAACAAATTTTCACAATGAAAAAGTCAATCTTTAGGCTTTCAACTGAGTTCCGTAGTAATCAGAGGCCTTCCAATATTTTTAAACATTTGATTTTGACAACCCAAACGTTTGTGAATCTTGTGGTATGAGATGGTCATTAATGTAATTGCACAAGTGATTCAAGAAGAGACGTGTATGCAAGCCGTGTGTACAGTGAGGGGCTTGTTGTTTAACACTGGCAAAGAGTCACTCTCTTCACAATTTGTTAGAATTTTAAGTCATGTAGTGTACGCCCAGCTTAAAGAACATTTTTTTTTTTCGGTGCCATCACTTTTGACCATTTTGCTCTTTTTGTCTGTTGGTACTGAGTATTCATGATGAACACCCTTGTAAATTGTTTGTGTGTAATTTGTTTAGCCTGTTCTTGGCAATTAACAGTCTAATTCTACATGTTAATCTGTCCCATTCACTTGCATGTTTCACCACATTTCTTTGTCTGATGTCTTGTGACTTTTTTGATCGATTAAGTCGGTTGAGGACTGCACTGACAGTATGAAATATTCAGTGATGGAGGAGCCGGGCCTCAATCAGGTACTGCTAGCCAAAACCTCAAGGAGGGCATTATGCACTCAAGCTTGTTGTTAGTGTTTACAGAAATCAGTATGTTTTCGTTATGTCTCACATGCAAATTCATATTATTATGTTTGCGTTTGTCTCACTAGGAAGTTTGAGGTCAGTAGAGGGTTTAAAGGGTATGCTTAAACTTAACAAATGCACTGTGCATGTCGTTTCTGGAGTACGTTTACAGCGCAGACGGCAACTGTCATTGACAAGGTTCAGATCTTACATAGTTATAACATTTATCTAACGGGCCCCAGTTATTGATTACCTTTGTGGGTACATTAGCTAATGAAGCACACAGTGAATTTACATCTCCATATCACTGTTTTAAAGTGCATTGAGGCTCACAAGCATGAAGCTAACAAGAATATTATACACATACAGATTGAACACATGTATTTTCTGGTGTGATCATTGTACTTTGAAAACACTGCAGAACAAATGGAGAATTGATCAAAGCACAACAGTACAGAGAGTCTAAAATCTAAAAAGATCTCTGAATAATTAAAACAATGCAAAACAGTTTCTTGCATACTTTTTAATAACATGAAAATATACCAGTGTTCATAGTTTTTTTTTCCTCTTAAACTTGATACATTTGTTCAAATCATCTTGTATTTTTTCCATATGAATATTATAGAAGTTCCCTGTATAATTTGCTGAGGTGGTGCTGTGGATCGTTGTAGAATTCCCAATGCAGAGTAGACCTCATAAACCAGACAGATAACACTATGTATTCCTAACCAGGTCTGCCGGACAAGACTGAAATATATGAACCATCAATGTTATCTCATAGGATTGTCCTACCCCATTCTAACAAGCATACTAAATCAGATACCCGCCTTTTTAATCCTGCCCCCCTTGAGCCATGTGCAATGACGGTGGATCTCATAACATCAGTTGTTCACTCTTACAAAAGTATGACTATTACTGTAGTCAGAAGTTAAATGTTAGTGCCCTGGCAAGGCCTGAAGATGACTTCTCTCATTCCCACAGATTGAGGCAGATCTGGGTTACCCTGGAGGGAAAGCGCGCATCATCCACAAGGAATCTGACATCATCACGGCCTTTGCCATCAACAAGGTGCGGGATGGCAGGAGAGAAGCAGTGACATTTTCAGATGAAACAGTTTTCTGCTTTTAGCTCAGCGGAGTGGGTGAAGTCTTATCGACTTCTGTTTTGCGTTCGCAGGCCAATCGTAACTGCTTAGTAATCGCCTCCACCCACGACATCCAGGAGCTGGATGTATCCTCTATCCTGGCCACTCAAATACTGACGTGGGTCGATGACGAGGCGGAGACAGAGGTGAAAGGGTAAGCCAGGTCGAAAGAGTTTCATCCGCTTCTCCAGTGGGAGAAACGCTTAATTTTGGCCTTTAAAACTGCCTTTAAAACACAAAAAAAATTATTTTTGTCAAATCTGCACTAGCAAAAAAGAATGTATAATGCGAGCTGTGGGCGGATGGTGCAGTGAGGAGTCCCACAGCAGGATCTGAAACATTGGTTCATATCTTCCCTTCATGACCATTCATCATGTTCTTAAACAAGGCATGCATTATACGTTTCTCAAGGGGAGCTGCAAGATAGCTTTCATCTTTTTTTTACAGTAACTGTTTAACCGCCACATTATTAGTGAACTTTAAAATGTTCTGATGAATAAAAGGTAGCCTCAGTTTATCTAATTCTTGCTTTTCTCTGATTATGGACTGTTGGGATTCCACCATTGCTTTGAATAAATGTGAATGCTTTTTTCTGCTGGACTGATTTTGATCCAGTTAGTCATGTAATTCAATTAATTGAAATGGGTCATTTAAAGAGGCTTTATTCTACACATTTTTCTTCTCAAAAAAATTATAAATTGATGCATAGTATTGATATGTAGTAGGGCTGTCAGCTGGGCTCAGAATTATTTGCTGAATTAGGCTGCAGTAAACAGCGAAGTCAATGTTATGTCTCCTAGATCCACAAGGGGTGCATTTTTAAAAGCACAGGGACAATATTGCCCCTCACAAGAACGTATATCTGCCCATTAATATCATTCGGCATATAAAGTAAACATGTCACGTCGTTCACAATGACTGAGTTTCTAAAAAACTGTCAGATGTTGGCAAATATTCCCCTGCAGTTTAAAACTAGTTTTAAATAAATTGTTGTGGTTTCATTTATTTAAGGTCTGTAATGGCATGTTCTGCAAAGTGTCTGACAGTCCTCATGGATGATAAGGTTACTAACTGGCCTGGAATGTGCTTATAGTCGCAGCAGAGGTAGCCTTAAATATTCGAATGGACGTTTACGTCTACATTCAACTGGGGTTTTTTTTTATTTATTTATTTTTTTTTAATAAAATTCAACCAATATTCATATTTTATTTTCAAAGCCCTAATATGTACATGGATATATGTAAATGACAATGATGTAAAAATCAACTTCAGCCACTGCTTTTGAATGCTTGGAATTTGTAGAAGGCTACAGTTAAATATTTGCTTCCCCTGGGAACGGCACAGTGTTTATTTATATCCTCCAGACCTTGCAGCCCAGTAACCACTGCAAACCGTTTACAGTAACAACACTCCTTATCACTTCACCATGAATGGCTGGGTTAAACTGCTGTACGCTGAGTAGGTGGTCATGTGTAAATATGTTTATGCTTGTGACATCAGGACGTATTTAAATTGGGGTCTGAATGATACTGAAATATTAAGTGTTTATATAGTACATCAAACTTTTTTATTAAAAAAAAAAAAGTTTTTCCTTGATATGGATCTTTTAAATGAAACAGCAAATGGTTGTCATGTCTTGCATGCCTCATTTGGACTTGCATTGTTTCTTGTTATGTATTTTAGAGGCGACGACTTCTTGGTGGTCCATGCCCGGGACGACTTCAGCACTTTGCATGGCACCACGCCCTACACCAACAGCAGCCCTGGTACTCCCATTAACATGCCATGGTTGGGCAGCCTCCAGACAGGCAGAGGAGCTGCCATGGTGAGCTTCCCATAATGGTCCCTTCCTTTGAACCTCTGTCTCTCCTGTGCCAGCTCATTCTCTTCTGCAAGTGGGACTTGTACTAATCCTGTGGTTTTTGTATAATAATACAGTTTGGCATGCAATGTGCCTTATGGGTTGTCATGGTTTTGCATTCATATTAATGTCTTTGCCCTTAAAACCTTAGTTGAAATGTCAAATAGAGTCTAATTTTATAAACCATGTCTCCTTAAGCTATAGTTTCTTTTTCGGAACTAACATGGTCCTTTGCCCCCTTATGCAGCTAATCAAACGGAACATTAACAACGTAAGGAGGATGACGTCCCACCCTACCCTTCCGTACTGTAAGTGACACCAGGCCTTTCTTGCTGTAATAGGATGACAGCGAACCCCGCCAATGAGTTCCCCTCATGTGCCATGTATGGGCTAATCTTTTTCCAGTGTGAAAGACAAATCCGCTTAAATAGTCTCATTATCCTCTATGTGCGCACATTCTGGGTTCTGGGATTTTTGGATGAAATTACATAGGCTGCTCAATAGGCAGTATTCTTCAGTGTGATGCCTGGGACAGTGATGGCAGGATCTTCTCTTTGACTGCAGACCTAACTGGAGCTCAGGATGGCAGCGTGAGGATGTTTGAGTGGGGCCATTCACAGCAGATCACCTGCTTCAGGAGCCCTGGCAACTCCAGGGTTACTAGGATTAGATTTAACTATCAAGGGAATAAGGTAAGAGAATATATGTCTCCTGTGTTTTAAAGAGCGAGTACGCCAAAAGTTTCTATACAGTTTCCCCCTTGTCCCAAATGCAGTTAATCAGCCAAGACAGTTCTTGTTCATTTTGCTTTGCACTGGAGCTACAAGGCTAATGTAGCTATCAAGTCATGGAAGCGTATAGACCACCAGTTATCAGTGTTCAAACTGCAGGCTTGATCATGTTGCTAGGCAGTAAGTTTGAAAATGTATATCGACGTTTTTAAGCCTTTGGCAAAAAAAGAAGGAAAAAAGAAAAAAAAAATGCCGGTTTTCAGGAAACTTTGTATAAAACATGAATAAAATATGAGGCGTGTAATGAGGCAACATAATTCACAATGTTGCCTTATTTTGTGTATTCAAACAATAATTGTGAATTATCTTGTAAATAATATATAGGTTGCTCAACCCTGAAGAATAGTCTCTCACTTGCCTCTGGCCACACCAGGTTGTTAAGTCATTTTAGATAGACCTTCTTGTGTGATTTTTACAACTGACTTACATTGTAGCTATTTGTCTTGGCTACTGTTTGTATGTCAATATAGACAGTATTCTGTAATGTAGTATCTAGATTTTTATTGTTTTTTGTCTTCCATTTTGAGTAATAAATACTTTTTTCTCCTAGTTTGGTATTGTTGATGCTGATGGAGCACTTAGTCTCTGGCAGACAAATACATCTGGGAACACACCAAAACCATACCTGGTAAACTAAGGGCAATCATTTCTGTCACTTTCAGTGAAAACACTATTAGATTTTTTTGGGGTAATATGCTCTTATGTTCCTCTGCAGACTTTGCAGTGCCATAATAAAACGGCTCACGACTTTGTGTTTGTGGGTTCCTCCTCTCTCATTGCCACTGCAGGCCTTTCCACAGATAACAGGTACACCTTGCATGACAGGCGCTGCAGCTTTTCACCCACAGGCCATAAGATCACACCTTTGCCCTGTTGTTTTCTTTTATACGCTGACCAGCTGAAAAGACTTCCTTCAACACCTTTTTACTATTCAGTCCAGCAGAGCAACAGAAAGCAAACTTGTTTTCCTCGCTTTCTCTCTCCACAGAAATGTGTGTTTGTGGGATACTCTGGTGCCCCTGACCAACAGCCTGGTTCACGGTGAGTTAACAGAAGCACGGCTCCTCTGTTATACAAACAGCACGCACCCTCACATGAGCAAGCGCACAGAGTCACATCTGTCTAAATAAATCAAACTCAGAAACCTCACTGACTACGTCTGCGTGATTACAGGCTTCAGCTGCCACGAGTCTGGCGCCACTGTGCTGGCTTTAGCTCCCAAGCAGCAGCTCTTGATCAGTGGCGGGAGGAAGGGCTGGATCAGTGTGCTGGATCTTACCCAGAAGCTCCAGCGCCAGAGCTTCCAGGCCCACGACTCGCCTGTCAAAGCTCTGGCCGTGGACGCCACTGAAGGCTGCTTCATCAGCGGTTCAGCTGAAGGCAACATTAAGGTAGGAAGGAAGGCTTTAAGGCTCGTCTGAATCGGGGACGGGTTGCAGTTTTGTAACTTGAGGGTGATTTAGTATAATAGTCTATGTTCAGGCACTTGGTATACTTTGATAGCTTATGTTAACAGGTATCAAATGATCAAGGAGATGTACTGTGCTACTTATTAGGCCTGGCTGGTAAAATGATAATGTTCATGTCTACGGTATTTGTAATGCATGTTTGAGGTATATTTGATAAAGCGATTATGCCATTCTGTTCCTAAATCTGATATTAGCAGGAAAGGCTTAAACTTTTATTCACAAGATAGAAAGTCTAGCTATTCAGTTGATAGCAGTTGTGATATACCAGGAGAAGCCATCTGTTTGTGTTCTTCAACATTCAAAATACTATTCAGACCTAAAACTGAGGATCAACAAACATGATCAGTAGTTACTGATATTGGATTATATCGAATATACACGTGTATACCTGTTTATATAATATATACACATATACACTTACCATATATGTGCATGTATATGTAGTTCTACAATTACAGACTGAAATCCATCTATTGCTCTGCATACTTTTTCCCCGTTTTCTTGTGCTCTACAGTGGTTTGGACCCCAATAGAGCATGTATTATGTTGGATCATTCTCAGCACTGCAGTGACAGTGTGTTTGGGTGTGTTGTGCTGGTATGAGTGGATCAGACACAGCAGTGCTGCTGGAGTTTTTAAACACATCAGTGTAAGTGCTGGACTGAGAATAGGTCACCAACCAAAAATATTCAGCCAACTGGGTCCAGTGAGCAGCATCCTCTTACCACTTATGAAGGGCTAGAGTATGACCAACACAAACTGTGCCGCGACAGATGAGCTCCTGTCTCTGACTTTACATCTACAAGGTAGACCAACAAAGTATGTGTGTCTAATAGTGTTCACTCACTAGCCACTCTGTTTAAAAACTCCAGCAGCAGTGTCTGATCCACTTGTACCAGTGCAGCTAACACACCACCACCATGTCGGTGTCACTGCAGTGCTGAGAATAATCCATCACCCATATAATACCTGCTCTGTGGTAGTCCTGTGGGGGTCCTGGCCGTTGATGAACAGGTTAAAAGGGGGCTAACAAAGTATGCAGAGCAACAGATGGACTACAGTCTGTAATTGTGTGTGTGTGTGTGTGTGTGTGTGTGTGTGTGTGTGTGTATATATAAATATAACACATAGCCCTAATGCAAACAGAGATTCTTAATGATCAAATAATCCAAAAGACATTGACCTGTGTTGGTTTAGCAATGTATTTGCTGGTTTATTGAACAGATATGGAGCATGTCCACCCAGTTCCTGTTGCATACCTTCCCAAACGAGCACGCCCGGCAGTCACTCTTTCGGAACCTGGGCACGGGCGTCATGCAAATTGAGACGGCTCCGGGCAATCACGTCTTCTCCTGCGGGGCTGACGGCACCATGAAAATGCGGGTTCTCCCTGACTGCTTCAGCACGTACAGCAACAATGTGAAGAACGATGTCAGGTTCATCATGTAGCACATTCTCAAGCATGGAACCACTTTTGCACATGGTAAGACGAGCAATATGAGGCACTGGGGTGGGGGGGTGGAGTGGGCATTTGAAGACCTAATCAAGTTCAACGTTTGGAACACTGAGTGTTCATTGTTACGGAAATCTGAAAGACTGAGTAATACAGGAACTTAATCATTGATGATGAACTGAATCATTGATTGATGAAGAAAAGAAAAAACAAAACGAAAAAAAAAAAACTTGTGTATCCCTTGAATCAGGATCCAGGCTAGAATCATTACATTTAAGCACAGTATAGGAAACATTCCCCTCTCCTCTTTTTAAATATATTACATCAGAAATTAAATCACACCCAAACATATTTAACAGAAGTAAGCCTTAAATAATCACTATTGCTAAGCAGTGTTGTGATTGTGGTTTAGACTAAATTAGTGATAAGTGTCCTTATATTTATACCTAAAATACATCAGACTTGGATCTCAGTGACACCAGAGACTTATTGGTTCAAGTGAGGTTTGTGAACTCATTTTCATTCTGTGGCTTAAAGCTTTGTATCCCTTCTTACATTTAACTGTGTGTACTAGTGTCCGCTTGTATCCCTAATAGTGGTATGAGCAAGGTATTGTGTATTATTAAGAGGAAACAGTATTTAGTTAGCTGTGGGCTCGTCACAACTGTGCACATTCTGAGCATGTACAGTCGTTATGTATTTCAACATAGGCAATCATAGGTTCAGGTTTTTAAGCTTTTTCTCCAAAAAAATTGTTATAAGAGTACACTATAACTGTAGTCATTCTAGGTGCAACATTTTCCTGTCCAGCTCCTGGAGTGGCCCTGCACTGCATATTTTTCTGTTTCTTTTCCTGCCCTAGGATACTCATTTTAACCCAATGAAGGTCTTTTTTTTTAACAAGCTGAAGAGTTGAGTCTTGTGTGGGGAGCAGGGAGAATGCTACAGTTTGCAGGACAGGGGTGCCAAAGGACCAGGATTGATGAGCACTGCTCTAGTGAGAAGGCTGAAGTTTTTCAAAGCACTTTGTTTCAGTAGAGTTAAGCCACAGAAATATATATATATATAATATATATATATATATATATTATATAAATAAATAATGTATGTGTTACCAGGAAGGATCATTCCATTATCCATTTATAATAAATGCTGTTGCCTCCAATGAAAATATTTTGCAGATTTTGGTCCATTGGTCTCTGGCTGACAGCTAATTGTCTCTAGACTTGCTTGGAGAGGTGTTCTTCAGTCCCAGTCTTGGAGAACTACAGTGCTGCACAGATTATTCCCTGATTCAACACCTCTGCTAATTATCAAGCCTTTCATGAGTTTAATTGAGTTTGTATGAGTGGGGAGAACATTTAAACTGTGCTGTGCTTTGGCTCTCTAGAACTAGGAATGAGCTGCGCTGTGCTAGAGTTCTCTTTAGGAGTAGCAGAAGTGAGTAATGTCCTGTCTCTGTCATGCTGCCAAAGTCAAAAGCTTATCACTTCTATGCCTTTAGCTTATCATTTTGCGACTTGTTCTTAGAAGTGAAGGTAATGGGTGCATATTGATGGCCCACAGTGAAGTAGTTAGACTGATTTTGTCAGCCTAATGGTTTATCAGGACTGATTTGCAGTCAGCCTTTGCACAAGAATCAACCTTAATGGCTGTAAAAATGTATATTAGCTTTATTTTGGGGGAAGTGAGCGAGAAGAGTGTAATAAATTATTTTATTGCCTATGTAATATAGAATCAGAGTACCTTGATTAAGTACCTAATTAACTGCAGTCTATACAAAACATTTTGTTTAACACAAGGAATATTTATCACTAGTGTGTCATTCACGATGGCTCTTTCAAATAATTAAAGTTTGGCATACTCTTGTTTTTAGAAATGCCTCCAGGCTGTCTCTCCTCCCCTCTTCTTTTTAGCTATCGCCACGAGATTGACCCCATGCACAAACTTCGCACACTGGTGTCTTTCATGTTGTAGGTACATTTTAGACTCTTATAGCAGTAATATTTATCTCCATTAGGTTTTTTTTTTTTATTTAAATGATGGAAAAAAAATACCAAACTAGAAAACGTTATTTCCTTAACAAGGTGGAAATAAAAATTCAACTGTAGTTGTAATGTGTAGCTTCTCAAGCTTTCTCTCTAACCTCTGAAATGTGAATATACACAAATAAATCTAATTTTATAATGAGTATAAAGATTATTGTAAATTGGACTATGTAATATACATCTAATGTAATGGTATAATAAATCAACTTGGTGCAACCTTTATAATAAGTGTGTGCATATTTTTTTTCCTTAAATGAATTTTGAGTAAATTCTCCACAGAGCCGGTTGTGTTGCATAAAAGTGAGATTTATTACAAATTAACAGCACATATTAAACATGTGTAGTACTTTAATTACACAAAATGGTAAGGTCATAGTAAGTAGTAGCAACCTCTTCTGGTAGAACAGATTCTGTATGAATTATTTTTAAAGGCATATTGTTTCAAAATTTTCAAATCAACATTGGGCCTACATCAGAAAGATGCAATCTCCTCTGACTTACTGTTTCAAATAAGTTTTGAAAATGCATTATTTATTACTGAAAGACATGCTGCCAACAGAGAAACCATTCATGTGTTCAACTGTAAGCAAGATAAATTGCATGATTACCTGACTGGGCACAAGTTAGTTAAAATCAGGTCAGTTAACTGTACCATGTTAGATAACTATCACATTGTAACATAGTATGACATTAAAGATCCTGCATGTTCTAGTTACATTGTCCTTAACATCTTACCCAGCTTTGATTTGAAGAAATCATAGTTATGAAAGAACAACTCAAGGTAATGTTCCAAACCTAATAAAGAGTCATAGGAAAAGTGTAATTAGAGCTTTGTTATGCTCAGAATTTGGTTAGACTCTCCTAGCATTAGTGATTTTTGTAGAAAATGTTGGGCATTCTCATTGCTATATTAGATTTTAGATCTCATTGCACAAAATGATCCTAGAAATTACTATCACTGATACACCCTCAGTAAAAGTGAGAGTGTCAGGAAGTCTGCATCTGCATCGCTCTCAGGGCATTGGATAGTTGGAGGCTCACAGCTTGGCATAATTCTTCAGTATCATCTCCAGCTTCTGGCTCATCATGATATTCCCTCTGACCTTCAGTTTGCCAGCGAAAAATGCCTATGGGGAAACAAACAAATAAACAAACCCTCATTGATCTCTGAGCACCAGCATTAATACGGTAGATGAATGATGACATTTGCACATCTGGGTGAATCAAACTTCATTTTCCCCTGGCCGTTCAGAGAAAAACAAATGTTGGACCGTCAGTACCTTCTGAGGGTTGAGTTTCCCCATCGCCACTTCCATGAAGTCCTCATCAGCTACAGTCAAAGTCACATCAGCCTTGCCGGTGTACGGACCCTTGTGGAGGGCACCATTTCCCGTCTTCAGATCTATGGCTGGATGTATAGATGATATCAGTGTTGTTGGGAAAATAATAATAAAACAAAAAGAAGCTGATCTTAGACTAACAGGTATAAAAGATCTTTCGTTTTGTTGTTCTGTACTGCAAATTCTCTAGACGATATCATGCATCCCTTCATATTTGCTTTTATATTACTGACAACTTAAACTTACTCCACTGTGCTGCTATCTTTCCTCCTTTCGTGATTTCCCATCCAAAAATACCATTAACTTTCTTCACAAGTTCAGCACCAAGGTCTTTGATCCGTCGGCCAATCTCAGCAAACACTAAATCACTCTGAAGACCCCCAGCCTATCAGAAAAGGCAGAACTGTGATTATGTAACATTCTTTCTAATTTCTACAGACACAATGATTTGTATCCTTTTTTTTTTCTTTAATCATTTACATCTTCAAGAAACAATATTGTTAACATTCAAAAGAAAATGATGCCTTTTACCTCTGCTGGCACAGCGTTAACAGAAGCACCTGGAGCTTCATGTAAATCTATATATGCCCCAGACAATACCACAGCTCCTGTCTCCTTGACCTAGACAGCCAGAGCAAATCGGTAAATGATTGTGACAGCGGGGATAGCACGTATGATGAAATAAGAACAGCGTTCCATGTAGCTTGTTTTAGTCCCCTTCAGGGACCACATGTTTTCAAAAAGAAGGAAGTTTCTTTTTTTTTTCTCGTTTAAGCTTTAGGCATTATTGAGTTATTAATCGCAGGGCGTATCACCCAGTAACTATTATGAATTATTCAGTAACTACTAAGAAACCTGTATGTATTATGTTTTGATAGGGAGTGAGGAGCCTAGACCCAATCGATCCGAAAGAGTAAACCAAACAACAGAAAAAAGATAATTTGACAATTTGGTTTTGTTAGCTTGAAGTAGACAGAAAACATAATGAGGCACTTGTTCTCACTTTACACAGTAGGTGAATTCTGTCCCCCTCTTTCCACATCTCTGTCTGAAGACACTGTCCTGGTAGCACAGGCTTCACAAACCGCACCTATCCAGAAAAGAGCAGACAGAAGTTGGAAGCAATTATAGATAAATGTCAACACAACACTGAAAAACAACAACCATCGCAGAAAATGTCATAAAAGCCAAATAAGTGTTAGGGCCTGACTGAAAGTTTGTCATTGATAGCGATTTTTATGAGTCTTACCTTAATGGACTTGAATCTGGAAACATCATTGCCAGCATACTGCTTCAGAACATGGCGGGCAGCAAATCCAAAAGAGCATAGTCCATGCAGAATTGGGGATTCGAAGCCTAAAATTTTAGATTGCGTTTTAACCACTGACGAGCTCGCGTTTCTAGCACAAACATTATCACTGTAGTTGGCTCAGAATATGAACCCATCAGAAATCTCACCTCCCATTGCTGCAAAGTTTGGATCTATGTGAAGCGGATTCCAATCACCACTTAACCTGTACAAAGCAGCCTGTAATGTAGGAGTACAGAAATTAATTTGTCAGAATTAAAAAAGATTCCTTTCCTCGTTATATTTTACAATACTGTGCAAAAGTCAGAGACCACACTTATGTTAATTTCCAGTCAAAATGGCTGTCAAGTACAGATCTGATCATAAGATCTGGAAAAAAAAAAAAATCCACAGATGATTCTGTATATCCTTCAACTGTGAGAAGACCATTCAGTGCTTAAGGTCTCAAAGGATTTTAGCTGTCAAGAAGCCATTACTAAAAATTAAAAAAGAAGAAAAGTTACACTAGAACACAGAGTCTGGACATCTGAGATTAGGGAGTTTTATTGGACTGACGGTTCTAAATTTGTAATTAGAATTATAGATCAGAAGAAAATGCAACCATCTTCTAAGACTGAACTTTGGAGATGTGGAAATATATCTCTGCAGATTTCTTTGAACTGAAAGCAAGTCTCCTGAAAAGAATGGAAGTTGTATTAATGGCAAAAGGTGGACACACTCATTAGTGAAAAATGTGGAATGTTGTGGAATGTTGAGGCTTTTGTATAATTTACTGTAAAATGTTTTGCCTTTTTTTTCTTAACACTGAAAAATGAATAAACTGTACTTAATGGCAGTGGGAATTAAATAAATGAAAGGGTAGTCTCTGGCTTTTGCACAGTACTCTACATGACTGTATAATTGTATAGAGTCGATAGAGTCAGAACACCTTCTCACCATTGCGTCTTTTTAAAATTATTTTACATTATACATCATTTAAAAACACAGTTACCCTTGACAGTATGTGAAAGTTTCATGACAGCCCAGCAGAAATCTTATCTTACATTAAAAGATGAGAGTATTTTTTTTCTTCTCCCAAAAAGTTCTCATTTTGCAAAGTTTTATTCTGGAAGCAACAATATACATCTGTCAGTCTATATTTGCTATTAGCTGAAGATGCAAGCTTGTTTCATCTGAAATGCAAATGCCGAATACATGGTTCCACCACCCACTATTCACACTTCAGAAGATGTCATTTCTAACATCTTTTATACCATTGCTTACGAAATCCTTAGAGAGCCTCAGACATCTAAGTGTGCCCCACATCTTCCTATGTGGATCATGTTTATCATCATCCCTTTAGCCTGTGTTTTTGAACTGGTGAGACGGCACTGTACCCCACCATTATCATCAAACTCTTACCTGATCTCTAGAGGTTTCGTCTACCACCACTGCATCTGGCGCTCTGTTTGGAGCAGGAACTGTGGACTGGGGGGAGATGAATAACCATTTCTATAAAGAAACTAATGCAAACATCATTTACAAAGCTAGAACACAATGTTTATTACCACAGCTTTATCTGATGATCTCTTTCCTCCAAAACCTCCAGCACCAACAATGAACACTGAGAACTGATTGTAGCATACCAGCTCTTGGTTGCTGTACGTGTGAACTGCAAGAAAGAAAAGAATCTCAAATTGCCTGTTAAATCAATTTAGTGTCATTTTTATTGCTATTTCTAGCATAGCTCTTGAATGCAGGCCATCTCAAATTAGTAGTTTTCATGTACATGTATGATTCAATACAGTAAAATGCGTATAGTTCCTCTTTGAAAATAAAAGAAATTCACCATCCAAGAGTATGACTGCACCAGATCCCTTGTCGAGAATATCTGCTATTGATGCCTTTGAAGTCAGCGTTCCTAGAAAGTAAACATTAGTTTTAGAGCCAGTTAAAAGCAACATCAACTGATTATAAATGTCTTGGGAAAGAAGCCTTACCTGATGTGGGCAATGGTTTGTACAACTCTAAGTACTGCTCTCCATGCAAAAGCTATGGAAAAAAACAAAGGGGAAGCAACTTTAGGATTAAAGATTATTCTACTCACTTTGCAGTACATACACCTACATGATTCATATATATGATTTACCCAGTATAGATGTAAAAACCCTATAATTCAGGTCAGTGTGAACCAGAAATCGTAATACAGTTTTCCTTCTGCAGAGCAGAAGACGTTTTAGCAGGCAAAAGTTATTTCATTTTAATGGAAGATGATGTGGAAACAAGCTTAATATGATCAGGCCCATAAACAAGTATGGGCTGCAGAGCCAAAGCAACAAAAATTATATCACTGTCTGAATACTTATGCATCTCACTGTATTAATGGGATGGAAGCAAGAATGTGCAAGAATGATGAAATAATCCAAGCGGTCCCTGTGCTCATCTGTTCAAGCAAACGCCTTAATGAGATACATGGTAGCTGCATGCATATTACAAATCACACAGGTTTTCTGTTGCTCACCCTCGTGGGGTCAAAGCTGAGCCCTGGAACAGAGCTGAGACCTCCTTCTAGCATAGAGACCTGGGCTGGGATGACA